ATCTAATCCTATCTAGTCCTATATCTAATCCTATCTAATCCTATCTAACCCTATCTAATCCTATCTAATCCTATCTAATCCTATCTAATCCTATCTAATCTTATCTAATCCTATCTAATCCTATCTAACCCTATCTAATCCTACCTAATCCTATCTAATCCTATCTAATCCTATCTAATCCTATCTAGTCCTATATCTAATCCTATCTAATCCTATCTAATCCTATCTAATCCTATCTAATCCTCTCTAATCCTATCTAATCCTATCTAATCCTATCTAATCCTATCTAATCCTATCTGTCTATCTATCTATCTATCGATCTATCTATCTATCTAATCCTATCTATCTATCTAATACTATCTATCTATCTATCTATCTATCTAATCCTATCTATCTATCTAATCCTATCTATCTATCTATCTAATCCTATCTAATCCTATCTAATCCTATCTATCTATCTATCTATCTAATCCTATCTATCTATCTAATCCTATCTATCTATCTAATCCTATCTATCTATCTATCTATCTATCTAATCCTATCTATCTTTCTATCTAACCCTATCTAACCCTATCTAATCCTATCTAATCCTATCTAATCCTATCTAATCCTATCTAATCCTATCTAATCCTATCTAATTCTATCTAATCCTATCTAATCCTATCTAATCCTATCTAATCCTATCTAATCCTATCTAATCCTATCTAATCCTCTAATCCTATCTAATCCTATCTAATCCTATCTAACCCTATCTAATCCTATCTAATCCTATCTAATCCTATCTAATCCTATCTCCTATCTAATCTAATATCTAATCTAATCCTATCTAATCCTATCTAATCCTATCTAATCCTATCTAATCCTATCTAATCCTATCTAATCCTATCTATCCTATCTAATCCATCTAATCTAATCTATCTAATCCTATCTAATCCTATCTAATCCTATCTAATCCTATCTAGTCCTATCTAATCCTATCTAATCCTACCTAATCCTATCTAATCCTATCTGTCTATCTATCTATCGATCTATCGATCTATCTAATCCGATCTATCTATCTATCTATCTATCTATCTAATCCTATCTATCTATCTATCTAATCCTATCTAATCCTATCTAATCCTATCTAATCCTATCTAATCCTATCTAATCCTATCTAATCCTCTAATCCTATCTAATCCTATCTAATCCTATCTAACCCTATCTAATCCTATCTAATCCTATCTAATCCTATCTAATCCTATCTAATCCTATCTAATCCTATCTAATCCTATCTAATCCTATCTAATCCTATCTAATCCTATCTAATCCTATCTAATCCTATCTAATCCTATCTAATCCGATCTAATCCGATCTAATCCGATCTAATCCGATCTAATCCTATCTAATCCTATCTAATCCTATCTAATCTAATCTGATCTAATCCTATCTAATCCTATCTAATCCTATCTAATCCTATCTAATCCGATCTAATCCTATCTAATCCGATCTAATCCTATCTAATCCTATCTAATCCTATCTAATCCTATCTATCTAATCCGATAATTATCTATCTATATCTATCTTACTAGATCTATATCTATGTAATATCTATCTATATCTATCCTATATCTATCTATATCTATCTATATCTATCTTATCTATCTATATCTATCTATATCTATCTATTCTATCTATATCTTCTATTATCTAATCTATATCTATCTATATCTATCTATTCTATCTAGATCTATCTTATCTATCTAATACCTATCTATATCATATCTACTATTCTATTCTTCTAATATCTATATCTATTCTAAATCTATAATCTATATCTATATCTAGCTATTATATCATCATCTATATCTCTCTATCTATCTATCTATATCTATCTCTCTACTATATCTATCTATATCTATCTAATCCTATCTATCTAATCCTATCTATCTAATCCTATCTATCTAATCCTATCTATCTAATCCTATCTACCTAATCCTATCTATCTAATCCTATCTATCTAATCCTATCTATCTAATCCTATCTATCTAATCCTATCTCTCTAATCCTATCTGTCTAATCCTATCTGTCTAATCCTATCTATCTAATCCTATCTATCTAATCCTATCTATCTAATCCTATCTATCTAATCCTATCTATCTAATCCTATCTATCTAATCCTATCTATCTAATCCTATCTATCTAATCCTATCTATCTAATCCTATCTATCTAATCCTATCTATCTAAATCCTATCTATCTAATCCTATCTATCTAATCCTATCTATCTAATCCTATCTATCTAATCCTATCTATCTAATCCTATCTATCTAATCCTATCTATCTAATCCTATCTATCTAATCCTATCTATCTAATCCTATCTATCTAATCCTATCTATCTATCTATCTATCTATCTATGGATTCATATGGATTCACATTGATTCATATGGATTCACATTGATTCATATGGATTCATATTGATTCACGTTGATCTGTCGATGTCGTTTTGTTTTGGACACTGGTGGAGTCTCCAGATTTGAGCGCAGATGGACTGTTTATGAACGAATCGCGTTTGATCAGGAGAAACTTGCCAAGACAAGCCATCGAGTTTCCCAACTGCAGTCGGGGAGAGCCACACATTTTATGATATGAATTCTCCCAATGACAGTGGCCAGGATCTGTTTCGTTTTTTTGTGTTTTGTTTGTGCAGGCATAGTCTGCAGAAAGATCACATGCAACCATATCCCGTGGTGATATTTTACTGTTTTCGACAGGTTCCAACATTTTCTTATGCTTCCTGGTCTTGAGTGCTCCACAGGAGCTGATTAAATTTGTTTTCGGTAAACCCATGTCAGTGTCACAGGCTGAAGGCAGCTGAAGGGTCAAGAGAGTAAGAGGATGACGAACCATGTGACAATGCTGTTTAGAGCTTTGAACTCTTTGTGGCTTTAAAGGAACTGCCAGCTGTAAGAAAAGTGATCAAACGGGTCTAGTCCACAGCTAGCTTTTCAACATGGGGGCTTCAGCAACTATGCGACCCAAACCCCGTGACTACTGCTGTTTGTGGCACAGATCTGACCCAGGCTGCGGTCTTGCTGGCGACAACCTTCTTTCCAGAAGATTCCGATTCAGACTCGTCAGATGAAGGCCGCTCCTTTGCAAATGGGCCCCGATGGGCCCAGATGGGCCATGAATTTCTTGAAACCTCGCAGGATTCAGTATGAAACCAAAGAAGACGAGACTTGGTTGCTCGGCATCCTTGGAAATGAAAACTGACGGTGCTTCCCCCAAGGTGTTTCCTAAATGATTGGGGAACACTGAGAACATCCAAACCATCCAAGTCACGAGGGCCATCCTCAGCTCCGCGGGGCTGTTGCACACGCAGCTGTTGAACTCATGTGTCAAGGTAAACTGACAAAGGTACACTTTGGGATTCAACCGATGATTTCTTGCTGTGGCTGTTATGATTTAGAAAGACATTTAGCCGAAGCTCATTGTGCAGTCGCGAACACTTCACATAGAAAGGGAGTGGGCCACAGATCCTGGATCAGAGCGCACATCATTCATCATTTCATGGGAGATTTCCCGGTGGTGGACCGGACACACCACATTGTTGCACCCCAAGGGTTCATTTGTTGAATACTTTGCAACCTCTGCTGAGGTCGGCTAAGAGCTGGACGAGACTACATCATTGGCATTTTGCAGAAATATTCTATCCCTCTTTGCTTTGGCGTGCCTTTAGATGCAAATAAGGTTAAATCGGAAATTTCAGATGGAATTCGGCACTGTTGGAAATCGTCACACTGATGTCACATACACCAGGATCTTTTCTTGAAACGGTCAGAGACTTGTCCAAGAAGCTTGGCAAGACAGTGACTGAGGTGTTCCTGGCATTGTTGTGGAGCAATGTGCACGAAGAAAGCTATTTAGAGCTGGTACATTGGACTCCAATCAAAGGCGGCGGACTCTGCCGTTATGGATCTTGTGATGTGTAATGCTTTCTTTTCACCAAAGGCGAGGTTGAGGGATCCATACTCCACGACAAAAAACAGACGAACGAGAGAACAACATTTTTTTCACTGATCACTCTTCGGTCCGTGTCTTGGCTGTGACACAGCTTAAACTGTGCAGAATTCAAGCTGGACGGACACGCTGTGGATTTTCATTTCGTGATCAACGACTTTTTTATGTGCCCCTGCTGCATTGGGTTTGAAAGTTTGACATTCCAACCTGTCGCGTGTAACACTGCAAGCTGCTAACACAAAGCATCCCAGGACCCGAATGTTTCAACAACAGCCCAAATGATCAAAAATTGCAAGATGACTCCTAGATTCCTAGATGACGTGTTTCAATGTGTTTCAGCATTTTGCTTCAAACATCTCCAAAGACTGAAACTGTCATAGCCGGTTTGGGGCCTTTCAGGTGCTTTTTCTTCGGTCTGGCTATCAAGGAGGCTCTCTGTGGGAACCACCATAACAGATCGAGAGGATTTTGCATCTGACTTTTTGCAATGACTTCTTGACCAAGGACCCTGTGTATAAAGCCACATGTTTTGATAGAACATGATATTTGGGGGGTAAAAGTGCAAGGATGTGCAAGGTAGGTTTGTTGCGCGCGACGCGTTATTTTGGTCTTCAACAGGATGTTGCAGTCCCTGCAGTCCCCAGAGTCCCCAGAGTCCCCGGTTTTCGGAAGCACGATGCAGCCCTTGAAGGCATGATCCGTTGCATGTCAGGTAACTGAAGCACTACTACCTGGTGGCTCATTGTCTCCCCTGAGCCGGGCTGCAAATCCCTTACTTGCAACGTGACTCTGCAGCATTTTTGGCAGCCCAAATTTTACTGTAGGTGTCTATTAAATAACATGATTCATGATCATTTTATAACGGTATATACAAGTGAGGAGATTCGTGTGAAATTGGGGATCTCTTGGACTCTCTTCGCATTCCTTTGGGCGCACACCACTTCCCCAAAGGTTCAATTATATATTGTCTTATTTCAGAGACATTAACTTGGGAGGGATGTTCGGTGCAGGTGCAGTGCAGAAATGGATGTGTGATGTGACAGAGAATGCCAATGTTTCGTGACTGTGTCTGGTGTTGCACGGATGGTTCAACGAATCTCCAACTTACTACTATGTGTTTATCTGGCCCCGGTGGTGCAGTGAACGTATTTGCTCGTTACATTGGACTCAGGTTTGGCGGCGTGCCTGGGCAGTAGTTTATGGATATGGCAACATGCATTGCCTTCAATGGCAATGTTTCTTGATGCACCGCCCAGGTTGTGGGGCCTGCCGCAACGTATGCTCTGGTTACGGTGATCTTCTACTCAACAGGTGCTGTTCTTTTGCTCCCTGGACCCAATGGGCACCGACCCCCGTGGACCCGATGGACCCAATGGACCAGAAACTCTAGACATCTCTAGACTCATTAGTGACTCATTAGACTCTCCAGTCACTCCAATGTATCAGTACATACACATGGCTGTGTCTTTTTTTCAGGTGTGCAGATTTTAGTAAGGGTGGGAAGTTCGAGTTCTGCGAACCATACCCACGAATCATACCCCGAACCATACCCCGAATCATACCTGCGAATCATACCCCCAAAAATCACGATTATGAATGTTTCTTTTGGGATCGTTTGGGATTGCATGGCCTCACTAGTTTTAATGGACGTGACAAGCCAATTGACAAGTGTTGGCCAGATCCGATGATCCCTGGCTGCCTTCACATACCTTCACGACATGAGTGGTGAGGCTGGCTGGCTGGCTAGGTGGCTGGCTGCGTGGCTGGCTAGGCTAGGTGGCTATGGCAATTGCTGCTGCTGGTTGGGTGGCTGGCTATGGGGCTGGCTAGTTGCGGCTGGCTGGCTGCGTGGCTGGCTGCTTGCTGTGTTGTCTGCTATTAAGTAGCAGTTGTGGTAGGTTGACGGTGGGAAAAAGAGACTCAAGCAACAAAGCTTCCTGAATTCCAAAAAAACATGGGTTCCCGAACCATACCCCGAATCATACCCGAATCATACCCGAATCATACCTCAAACTTCCCAATTCTGAACCTTGGTACATTTGCAAGATCAGAACTTGTGTTTTGTGAGCATAAATCTTTTTCTTTGCAACCATTCGCCACGGGCTACACTACGCCTCCTGCTGCTTCTGAGAAAAATCCGGGAACGGCACCCTGCAGTGGCATCCTGCGATGGCACCAACATGCCAACTCCAAAGCGCACACACCACTTTGACTGCAGCACCTTGAAGCAGCACCCTGCAGCAGCACCACCAGCCAGCTCCAGAGCGGACACGCCACTCTAACAGCTGCACCCTGCAGCGTGCAGCACACCCTTCACTAGCACCATTGCACGCAAAATCGATCCCAGGGCCATTGAGACCCATATACTCCATGCATGATATAGATAGCATTAATTAGCAACATTCTGATGTTTTTGGGATTTTGGGACTAAGTATAGGTACATAAAGGGCCGCGAACCATACCCCCGAACCATACCCCGAACCATACCCCGAATCATACCCACGAATCATACCCCCTAGTCAAACTTCCCGGGCCGCACTCCTCATTTTGAGACATACCCACATAGATACAATACATACAATAATGTCTATGTATATGTCTATGTATATGTCTATGTATATGTCTATGTATATGTATATATGTATATATGTATATATGTATATATGTATATATGTATATATGTATATATGTATATATGTATATATGTATATATGTATATATGTATATATGTATATGTATATGAATTATATTTATTATATACAGTATATACACATAATATCCCATTTCTCATAGAACGAGGACATACCGTGCCACAGGCGCCTTGGATCAACCCATGTGCTTGCCAGCTGATTTCGTCAAATCCAATGCTACTGACCACGACGACCACGACGACCACCACCGGCGTCTTGCCGGGGGAGGAGGCCGAACCTGGCACCGCTGTTTGACTGATGACTGACTGCATTCTGTCGAAATCGAATGGTTCAATGCATTTTAATGCTGTGAGGGCCTTTCAAAATCTTGAGCTGTGATTTTGCAACTCCGAACGCCTTGCGCCACGTGATTTCGCGGCCAGGGAACTCATATTCTCCTAGCGACTACAGTGCGAAGTGCAGTTTGGAAGCCATTTTGAAGGCAGGGGACCAATCGCCCAAACCGAACTCATCCTTGGCGTTCACCACCCATAGCGAATGCCAGGGATGGGGAGTTCCGACGGCGTCGCGAGCCAAGATTTGGTAGAAGTTGGCCCGAAAGGTATACTATGAGACTACTGTACAGGCTGTACATTGTTTTTGCATGTTCCTGCATGTTTTTATTGTATGTAATTGTATGTATGATATTCATTGCGGGTGATCCTAACTGCAAGTGTGGAGAAAGCAAGGCCCTATCTGGTCCTGCAGATCTAAGCCCAGTGAATCATTTGGCATGAATGAAGCGCGAGGGAAACCACCTTCACATGTTCAGTGACTGTAAAGTCTGTTCCAAGTTGTTCCATGTTGAAAAACAACCTTTTCAAACGATCCACCAAGGACGGACATTTCCTTGGCTTGGATGTTCGCAATTTTGATCTTCGGCCCTGGACATGCTGCCATCAACTTCCTGTCCCTTGATTGCACCCGTGACCAAAAGGCAACCCAGACAGACTCAGAGCTGACCACTCAGATGACCAGAAAGTTTCCTTACCATTTCCGAAGTGTTGTGGCTTGTTGCAACCATAAAACACCACCAGTACTTTATGCCACCAGCCACTAGCTTCATGCTTCAGCAAGGTTGTTGCTGGCCATTCTGGATGATGCGCTGGGAATGATAATCATTGCTGCCCCTTTGTCCAGCATTGAGCTTTGAAAGGAGTCCTTGGGGACCTGTAAGAGGCCTGAGAATCAGGGCGTACAGCAGCTGAGGTGTTCTATCCAGATCCTGATAAACCAGTTGAGCCCATTTGGCTTCTGCTGGTGCTTGCAGCAACTGGGCGATTCTAAGAGAGTGGGTGGAACTGGACCTGAGAAGAGCCACTGAACCTTTGGGGCTCCACAATGTTGGAAGATGGCTTTGATCTCATCGGCTGGTTGATGGATCCGAGTTGAGACTTTGGTGGCTTTTCATTCTCTTTCCAACCACAACTTTTGCGAGCATTATAGGACTTGTGGCTTCCTATGCACTGAAACATGCTGGTGTTGGCCACTGTCTTGAGGGAACGAGATGTATGCTTCAATCACTTTCTCAGTAATTATCAATAAGTGTCGGGGTTTAAACACATGCATGCGCTGCTTTCGTTTGCAGGACTTTCTATTTTCTCCCTCTAAACCGGCACTTTTCTTTGCCGTGAGTTGGTCGGTTAGTTCTTCTCTTGTCATCCACCAGCATTCTGTGTTGTGATCAGAGCCGATTGCCTTTTGGGCTGCTTCTATCTGCTTCTGGTGTAGTGCCTGTGAGCGAGGCAATGGTTGTAGCATTCGGGCTGCGTAAGCTGAAAGTGAGCCGTTGGCAGGCAGGAGCAGTTAGTCCCTGCCTCATCTGACAAAGTAATGTTGCGATAAAATTCCAGAGAGGCAAGTGGACGCCGAGAATGTGCTGAATTCCATGTAGCATGTCTGCTGATGCAGATTCTCCAATCGAAATGCAGTCTTCTCAGGCTTTCGTCAGTTTCTCTCTGCATAGTGGCCCAGAAGTTTTGATACGTGTAAAACTGTAAAGCCATACAAACTCTGAATAGTATTATAGTCCGATGTCCACCTACAATATCCTACGCCTCGTTTCATAGCAGGCTACTGGCGATTGGCACAGTCCAGGAGTTCCATTTGAATCTTCCTGAGGTTTATGTCAGAACAGAACATGTGTTTTAAAAAGCACACTTCTCTGTGCCAGGCATATATCTTGATTTCTGCGCCGCTGTCATGGGCAGGGCTCTTCAAAGCCCATGTGCACCCTGCCCTGTCGCTGCTCAGCTGCAGTTAGTACCGTAGTCACATCGGTATACCGTATACCCAGCTTAAATGGATAGCCGTCGACACGCAGGACTCTGGGGTGCCAAGTCAGGGATGTAGTGTATCTCACCAACTATGCAAGAGTTTTTTTAATGTTTTTTTCTTAAATCTGAGGTTGCAATATGTTGGGCAATGATTTGGGCAATATGTCGGGCAATACGTCGCAAGGTCTAACAGTTTTATCGCTGCACTGCTGCACTGAGGCTGGTTTTCGTGGTGCCATTTATGCCAGCAACTCATGCCATCGCTCCCAAAGGGCCACGAGATCTAGGCAGGAAATCTGTCGGTCCTACTTTGGACCTCTGCGGCGCTAGTTTCTTGCTTTGCCAGCTGTGTATTTCAAATCTGCAAGATGTGTTCCTACAAAACTATTGCAGCATTGGTCTTTAATATTTGAGGAGAAATTTTCTGGATCGCAATTTCCATTTTTCAGAGTGTTTCTTTCAGCGGATATCACTGCCTTTCTGGACTGAACAAGACTCACCTTTTATGTTCGTTCGCGGGCAAGGACTTGTCGACACCATTTCTGAAACTAGCTCCAGAGTGCCTGCCCTAGATGCTGCGTGCTGGAATGCTCCGTCAGTGCAGGAATGCCCCACTTTGATCCGCTTTGATTTTCTGGGTCAGTCATTCATGCAACGATGCATTTCCCTCTGCAACATTCCGCCACCGCTCGGAGCGCGTGGCAAACTGTATTGGTTTATCTCCATAGACTCACAGATTGGTGATGGTTGTACGTGGGCTATTATCGCTGTTTGGACCAAGATATATTTTTGTCAAAGGGGTTTGCAACTGCTCAGATGATGTCCAAACCTTTTCCTATTGTCATGCATTCTTCCGAGATATTTTTAGGACGGTCTGCTGATCCTAATGAGATCTTTCCTTCCCTTCTATAACTCAGTCCCGAGTTCCAATAGCTAATTTGCTTTGCATCTGGATTCCTGGATTCCCGAGGAACTTGTTCATACACAATCTCGGAGGAGCTTCTGAGCTATCGGTACTGAATTCCTGGAAACACAAACAGGGCATGCTATCACTAGCTATCACTGGCTATCACAAACAGCTTGGGGAGGTCTATCAGAAAGTTAAAAAATCCGTCGACAGCCGCAAACCTTCCTGAGCTCAATGATCGACGGATTAGATATCTCTTCCTAGTTCCTGAGAAATACAAGAGCTCGGTCTGATGTTGGGTGTCAGCTTAGTTTTTGCCCGTTTGCTCGAAGGAGTTCTGCGTCCAGAAGAACTTCAGTGCTTTGCCCGAGATTGGAAAATGCATTGGGTTCACAGTTCTTGGTTTATTTCATGTAATCACAATCAATGATGCTGGCACGCTAGGCACATCAAGTTACAACAGCCAACCAAATAAATAGATTACTTTTTTAAGTACCCCTTCGTGAGATAGCTTGTAGAGGAACCGTCCTGCAAAACATAGATAGTATGCTTGCAAACATGCAGATATTGGCCACGTGGGCCTGGGCGGGGCACGTTTCTTTTGTGGTTTGAAAATGTTTGAAAGGTATTACCTGAGTGACTGACAGAAGACATGCACCACCAATATGGCTCTCGAAATAAGTTTTGGTGCAAATATCAGATTTTCTGAAGGAAGTCAACATTTTGCACAAAAACCCTCAGCATTTCTTCGTTCTGGTTCTATTTAACCGCCTTCGGCGTGTTCCGCCGGCCACCATGGAAAGAGCTATCCTGCAAGCTGCAAACAGCGCTTGCACAGGCCTAGCGAGAACATGGTGTTTGTGCAAAACATTGTTTTTGTGTATAACATAGTTTTTGTGTAAGACAGCGTTCGGCGTTTTGTTTAAAACCATGGCTGTTACGCAAAACATGGTTTTTGTGTAATCCACGGTTTCACGGTTTAAGTTTAGGCCAAAGCATGAGTGTGTAACCCAGTGTGCCAGGGTTTTGGAAAAGGTCATGTATAGAAAGATTACGCGTGTAAAAGGTGTTCTGCACAAAAACCAGTGGATTGACAGGCCACCTATATCAAGTATTGGATATAAGAAACACTGGAGGAAACCGATGGCAAACACCAGCAAAAAAAGGCGGACAAAAACATGGAAGCAACAGCAAACAAGCGCGTGTTGAGCGAGGCGTGGACAGAGTTGAGCCCAGGTGGGTTCAAGTTAGATGAGGCAAAATTCCGCGCCAAGGGGAAAGTCTAGACAACGACAAAAGACAAGACAGACAGTACAACTACGAACAAGCAAGATCCACAAGACACGCTGGCAGGCCGGCGGATTCAGCCATGTCCCGTGTGGCATCTTGTGGCTCTCAGGTTTCCTCAGCTCTGGAGGAGGTTGCCATCATTGCGAGCAAAAGGCACTCTGAAACGATTGCACGATGCTACCATCGCCACAAGTCCTATTTGTATCTCCAATTGTTCAGCAGCCTGTGCCCTGCCGCAGTTTCAAAAACATGTTCTACAACGAGGACATCTGCTGTTTTCATGTCCACATTTTTTTTGGAAGCCTTGCAAGGGCCATTGTGTCCCTAAGCTCCTGCAGCTGCGAATCTCTCCACTCCCTTCACAGGTTCCACCACAAACCAATCACCTGCAGGAGAATGCTCCTCTACATGTCTTTGAGCATACGTTGAAGGTGTTGGTTGACTTCGGCTGGCGTCTCAAGAAAAAATTCCAGCTGTACATGGCAAGGAACTCCTTTCTTGCCCAGCACAAGAGAGGAGCCCTGGTGGATGATTGCTTTCAGGGTTGTGAACCCTTGACCGAAAGGGTCTATATAATTATTTTGGTAGCAGAAGGAACCACTGGGCAGGACTTGGGATGATTTCATGATGTTTAATCACCAGCACTGACAAACGTTGTGGTCCTTTTGCCCCGCGGTTGCCAGACCACCGGAATAGTGGCAAGATCCGTGACCGAGGCATGTTCTTCTTTGGCCTGCTCAATGCAGGAGTTAAGTGAGCAACTCAGGTAACTCAGATCATCCTTGTTTCATCAAAGCCTCTTGAGATCGGCTAGCATTTGGCTTCAACTACAACAACCAGGATGTATAAAAGTTGAGTATATACTGCAGACAAACACTATCTAAACATTATGATATAACATGATATAACTAGCTTCCACACGTTCCACATTTTCTGACGGGTCTCCAACTTCGATCACTCACCCTTGATGTTTCGCACCAGATATTTTCGAGGCTCAACTCGATCGGCGGTGTCACTGCCTGTGTTGGCATTGCGTGGCTTGGTTTAGGATGTTTCGGACTGTTTAGACTGGATGTGGTGTTGATGAAGGTGGCTATGCTGGCTATGTCCAAAAATGAAAGGCAAGTGCATCAACCACCATCGTTCAATGCCGCGCTCTGAGGCTCCTGGTTGGCAAGATTGTCGGCATAGCAGGGATGAGCCTCCTTGGTCACTGTATAGGTGCCGACGAAGATGCGCACGTGTTTCACGCATTTTGCTGATCAAATCGTGGCTCGTTTTGCTGGTTGTGCATTTTTTTGGTTGACAAGCAAGGACCAACCAGAACAAACCAGGACAAACCCACTGGCAAAGAGTTCTCAGAGTTTTTTAACTTGTTGCAATGGCAATCGTTACAGCCTGGAAAAACAGAGTGATTTCGATCTGAGCGACTCAGATTCAACATTTTGCCTTGTCCTTCCAACCGATGATTTCTGCTTCGAAGGTGCACCTTTGCCAAAAGGTCTGAGCATACCTGATTTGGTGGCCACCGCAGCCGCCAGACTGGATTGGGGAGTCCAACACAGCAACAACTGTGGATTTATTTTCTTTGGTGTGTTGAAGAGCAGCTCTGTTTGCTTCTAATTCCATGTCATACACGAATGCATTACCCACAGATTGAGGCAGCTGCGAGTTTTCAGGTGAGCTCATGGTTCTTGCGTAGCCTGACTCGGCCTCTTTGTGTTTTAGTGCCTGTTTGTTGTTTGTCTATGCGAGCACCATGTGCCTACTGTTTGTTTTTCTGTTCTTTCTTGTTTGTTTTTCTGGTAGTTGGTTGGTTTGGCCAGTTGGTTGATTGGTTGTCTCCGTTGGTTGGATTTCCCCCTCTCTCCTTCTGTACCGAAGTAGACGCCAGTTTGGAATTTCCCATTGTACTTCGATTCAAAAACCAACAGCGGATTCCGGACTTGTTTTGTATCTTGTTGGGGCCTTGCCAGTGGAAGCATGAGCTAGAACAGAGTTGCTGGGGTTGGCAGGCATAACATTTGATCATGATATTTGGGTCTGGATTAAGGAGTGCCCGACATAGATCTGTGAAAAAAGCTGATTTCTCCCATCAGAGTGCGAATTTCTCAGGATCAGGATTCAGGATCATGTGGATGTGGATGTCCAACTGAAGCCTGATATTCCGGACCGTTCCGGACCAGACCAACATGAACCAATCATCTTTGACGGGAATCTACGATCGTTACGATCATCTGCTTGTTTCATCTTGTTTCGGGGTTTGCTTCTTTGGAATTGGCCTGGACGCATCTGGACGCATCTGGACGCATCTGGACGCATTTGGACGCATCTGGAGGCCCTGGGTGGCATTGGCCTCACTGTCGCACTCTTCGTGGCAAACGAAGCGTTCGTTCAGCCAGAGATGCGTGGTCAGGCCACCGGGCCATCGTAGCCTTGGGACAGACTGCGGAGAGCAACATGTTGATTTGTAGCAAAGACCATCGACTTGCTCTCTGCCCAAAAATGACAACTTGATACAACTTGTACATCTTGTTTTGTGCTTATACCAGGACACTTAGTCAAGTTTGTTGTCAATTGGACGTGGATGCTGACCACTGCTATAGGTGAATTTGATGCCTCCACAATTTCCGATGCTCACATACACCGAGCCACGACCTCTGCGCATGTTGGATGTATTCTCACATGGCTTGCACCCGTGAAGGCGAAGATGGGCGCTGTCTTGTCCATTGCTTGTGGGTTGATCGCCTTTCTCGTCAACCGCATATTTGCCAAAGGAGATGGGAGCGGGATGGAGCGGGGATGGGCAGTATCTGGCGTTGATATCTCTTGTTTGTTGTGTTGCAAACATGTCTTCAACTGATAGACTTAATATAGACATATATAATCATATATAAATATATATAATATATAGACCAATATGATCTTGCATATGAAGTTGAGACGAAGCTGATGCAGACAGGCCCACCCATAATATGCACGCGGTGGTTTCTTGTGTCAGAATGTTGGTTTCTGGATGAATTCGGAGTTTTCGCACAGTAGTGACAGGTGCCTGACACCCATGAACACGGCTTAGTCTCGCGGTGCTACTGGTCCTTGAAAAGGACTTCTCCATTTTTTAAAATGCGCAATCTACTTTATCATTTTCGTGAATTATGCTTGAAATGTACCATTGAAACCACGGAAGACATGCATATTCTTCCGGTGTAGTTGGAGTGGGAGATGCAATGAGACCACTGTATACGGCCTTGCGCTCCCCAGGCAAAGATGCGGAGGAGGTGCAGACACCAATCATAGGCGGGGCCGGTCATATGACCTCCGGATGACCTCTGGATGACCTCTGTATGATCCACCAGAACGGAGTCTTCAACCGGGCATGAATTGCTCCCTTGTAACATCTTGTAACCTGAAGGAAATCCCATCACACGGAACGCATCAAGGTTTCAAGAGTTACATTTTTGAGGGTGTTCCAGCTGCAATCTCTTCAAAGGAGCGTTGAACCGTTGAACCCGAAGCAGGAAAGATGTGACTCAAGAGGAAGTGACGGAACCAGAGCAACTACAGTAACTGCAGTAGGTTGCTTTTCCTGTTGCTTTCTTTGCTTTTCCAATTGTGCACGTGTACGCTGGCAGCATCTTACTTTCATAGAGATATATTTGATTGAACAGACCTGCTGAATTTTTGGCCTGCATTTTTTTGGCCTGAATTTTTGCAGTGCCCGGCAGTGCCCAACAGTTTCTAGACCAGTCTAGAGTCTAATCTTTCTTCCAGTCAACCTTCATGCGGTGGCCTTCAGCAGGTATCACTGTGAGACATGTTGATACCGATGACAGTCAAGCTTTTGGACGCACCTTGGACAGCAGTTTCTTTCTTGACATACACATAAATATCATAAATAGTGCTGCAGCACAGAACAGTAGACATGTGCAAGTGGGGTCTGACGATGTCTGATGTGTAAGACCATACAGATCCATACAGACTGACCGTCAGAATCACTCAGATCAGTACCATATATCAAGCATCATTTTGCAGCTTTTCAGGTGTAAAGAACTTGGAATCAAAGGCCAGGATTCTCCAACAATATGTTTCTTCTGTACCTTGTCCATCCTTGTCTGACTTCTCAGAAAGTCACATCCAAGCAGCACAGTGCAGCAGAGACCAGATGAGAGCGGCTGTGTCCCTATTCAGGGATTGATTTTACCACAGGGTTCGGTTGTCTGATTATTAATCGGAGACCAGAGGCTCCCTTGGGTTTAGAAAGCAGGCTGGGTTTGTTCACTGGCCAAACCAGGTCTCTCATTACCAATGTTGATAGGCAATATCTTCAAACGTGGTTGGTTTACGCTGGGCACACGCGGGCACACGCGGGCACACACACACACAAAATCGGCTCTCAGATAGGATTAGATATAAAAAGTGAAATGTTGGGGGGGCGTCGCGAAGGGTTGATGGATGTTCCTGTGCCCTGGCCGTCGGTGAGGCCTCTTTGACGTGGGTGCGAGCGAGGATGTCCAGAGCTTTCCGACGAAGCCGGAAGCATCTGAAGACTCAAGCGACTTGGCGAAACCAACAGGTCATCGGAGATTGCCCGGTGGGATTGATAAATTGTTTGGTCATTCTTCGACGCAGTTGAGGAGCTGTACCGCAATGGGTAGGTCGTGGTAAAACCAAATTGTGGCCTGTTTCCGTTCACTTCACCTTCCATTGTTTAAGGAAATTCAATGGGGTTTTGACCCATTTTCTCCTGCTTTCCAGTCACATGGTGGCAACTCAAGAGCCATGGCCAAGGCAACACCAGGCCAGAAAGTCCCACAATCGAACATGCAACCGCAATGGCAGTCGAACCTGCAGGTTCGTGTGGATGACGGGATTTGGCCGTGAAACCCATCTCCCTAACCCAGGATGAGAAGAATGTAGGTTCTGCTAATACCTCCTTAGTAACTCTTATTATTATATATCCTTATATATCCTTATTATCTTATTGTGCTTTCATTTTGCTGTCACATCCCGTCAGATTCGTGCTGTATGACCATGTGACCAGAGCTCATTGCCATCGCTGGACCAGGTCTACCCAATTGCGTTGATGATGAGACCGCTTCACAAGACCTTGGTGTCTGGGCTTGCAGCGTTGGTCTGTGGCAATGGTGCCATAGATATGCCAACATCAAGGTCGAGCATACCCGACACATCACCTTTTTTTTGTTCGAAGTTGATGTATGTTGATGTGCCATACCCTTTATCCTGACATACCTGGGGAAAACCACCGCATTTGTGACCTTAGCCCAGGAAAGGTTCTGGCATGACGCGCCGGGGATTTGCAGCTGCAGCTTGGCGCCGAAAGATCCTGTTTGGTGGTCATGATGTCATTGATGGTTGTTGTTTGAAGTTGTTTGTTGATCTTGGATGATCTTGGTGTCTTCAGATCAAGACCATGGCAGTCCACATCAGTCCATGACTTGCGAAAGTGCTGCTTCATCTGCCATTCATCGAATCAAAATTGTTGCTGCTTCCAGGATTCCATCGGCTTTCCTCTTTTTGGGGAGCGATCATGCTCCATTTCATGGTTGTTTACATGTATTCATACACAATCATAGATTCAGTCTACAAAATGCCTGGTAGGTGAAGCACCATATCCCGGATCAGGTCGAAATGGAACATTGCAAAACTGTTCCGAAGTCGATGGAAAGTGGGAAATCAAGAATGATATGTCCCATGACTTTATATCCCGATGGTTGTCGGTGTCCTTTTCTTCCAGCAGTTTTAGTCGTTGTTGTCATGTCTGCCACCGATTGGAATGTTATGGCATTTCACTTCAGATTTGTCAGCATGCGAGGGTTTGTGATCGAAAGACATTGGTGCTGAACTAAAGTGAAGTGGCATGTTACGACACACGCAGAGGTGCCACCCACATCCCCCTCGATTGGATCAGGTCGCGTTTCACAACAGCCGGTGCAGCGCATCAGAACTTGGAATGGATCCGTGAACTCGTAGGCTCCGAGCATAGAAACATCGGTCCATATCGGTCCATCTCGAAATTGAAACGGCAACGAGCTAGATGTACTGTCAGGAAGCCTGGGTTCACTGAACCTGTCTATATAATGCTTCAGACCTTTTTGAAAGAAATTATCGCTCCTATCGTGGAGTGCAGAACTGCAGCCAGACCCATCCACACAGCTTGTCACTTGAAACTCAGAGAGATAGGATAGAGCTCAAAGCTTTTCTTGGTTAATGTCAGGTTGGCTAAAGATAGCTGCTATACATAGGGTTAGCCCCCCAGTAACAGTGCAAAAATGGTTTTGTACTTAAAAGAAACGCCTATTGAAAAAAGGCACCAGAAATGAAGCCCCAATTGTTGAGGTTTGTTTTGTTTGTAGTATTTCCGTAGGATTCCCAGCAGAAGCTTTAGTCCCTAGCTAGTGTGTGTGTGTGTGGGTATTGTGAAATTCGATCAGCGTTTGCCAAACTTCTCAGAGAAAGGTGGAGGATCTGGCCAGCAAGACTCTTCTCAAGCCACTCTAGTGTTCGACACACCCGAATTGGGTGATGTGCTGTTCTCTATTCTCTATGTCACTCTATGTTCTCTGAGATCCGCGATTGCGATTAAAACAGGCGCTGATACGACAGTGTGGAGTCAAGCAGCTGAGCACCACAGCGCTGAAGGATTTCATTTGACCCTTTCTGCAACAATCCTCACTGCTGTTTCTACCCAAAACATGCTGATTCCACCAGGTTTTGGAGAGTTGTGAGAATCATGCAGATTTGCCATGCCCCATGCATCATCCATCTCTTCTCGCCGCCTGACGGCTTACCAGGCGCTTTGAGTCAGTGGACAAAACAGTGTCGGGTTGTGACACTGTGCGGACTTTGGTTGGCAGGAGCATTAGGCTCTCGCAAGCCACCTTTTCGGGGACACTTCTTGTCGTAGCCGCGCTAGGCCACTCGGAGTCTTAGGAACCCTTTGGGCAATGGCGTTGGAAGGTTTGAAGTATGGCAACTTCAGGCCGCAATCAGTGCAATGGGACGCACGAGCACCACCTGGATTTGGGCTGACTACCGATTTCAGGTTGAGGCGTTGATGGCAAAGGAGGTATTTCTTCCCGAGTCGGAGAAGAAAAAGCTCGGACCACTGGGACTTCGACGCACCGCCTGACAGGCCCAGCTTTGCAGATAGCCAAGCAGACGGGCGAAGCTGTTTGAAGAAGGGGGTGTCAAAGCACTCTTGAAGACCTTGGAGCAGGACTTGCTACTGTTGAGACGACAAGCAGCAATGGAGCTCTACAATGCAGGCTCAGCTCAAGGAAGCAGGAGTGATGGCACGCCAGTGGCGTGAGCCGATGGCCGCCTACCTTCTTCGGGCTGCAAAACACATTAGCAAGCGCAAGGCATGCGGACAGTATGGCCATTGGAAGAACAATGCCATTTGCCCCAGGAGGAAGCCAAAAGGCGGGAAGGGCAAGAGTTTCACCAAGGATGGTGGATAGGGCAAGGACAATTCCAAAGGAAAGCAACGACTACTGGAACTTCCTCAGGCAGAAGTTGACCGGCAATTTCGCAATGAACTTGGCTACATGATGCCAACATCCAAGGCCGCGTCCCCAGCCAGTTCACTTGCAGGATTCAAGCATGGTGAGTGCAGAGGAGATGGAACCAACATGGACTAGGAGTTGCAAGATTCACTCCGTTTCCGAAGTTTCCACAACCACCACCAGCTAAAGCGGCATCAGTTGCATTCGAGACCGTTTCTAGTACCCCTGACAACTAGATCAACTGATAAGGCAACTTGTTTGAGTACCACTGAGGAGCCAAACTCTACTACAACTGGATGCAGACATGTGAACGTGACGCGCAGAGGTTCCAACAAGTACTGCAGCATGAAAACTTGCAAGGACTGTGGACTTCAGTTGGAGAGAAAGAAGAATGACTTGGACACAACGATACCTTTGGAACCATCAGCCCAAGGACGATGCCTACACCAAGATTTGAGCTGGCAAGGCACGAGTGGATTTGCCTGGACGTTGAATTGCAAGGCATGTAGCCTTGTGGGAAGAGAGAAAAGAGCCCGTTCCAGCCCAATTCCAACAAAGAGTGCTACCAGTATGGCTGCTTCGTCATCCGGATCACCGGCGGCCGGAACTGGCAGGACCAATGTCAACGACGAGGACTTCGTCACTTCTGTGGAGGAATGGAAGCCACACATATCCAATTGAGAGGCACCTTGACTCATGGCGAGTATCATCAGATCGTCAATGCAGCAGTTCTGGCTAAACGTCATCTTGGACTTGGAGCTGGGCAGGGTGCTCTCCAAGAAGGATCTCAGGCAACCAGGAGTGTACCGGCGAGAGAGACTTTTCAATGGAATTGGAAAGACGACTACCAGTGGCCAACGGGAGTTCTATGTGAACCTGGAGGCCAGAGTTGGAAGCAAGTTCCCAGGAGAAATCACCTCAACTGAGGTGAAAGGAAGCGATGCATCAATGCTTCTTCCCATTCATGCTCAACAAGCTCTTGGACTTGTGGTCGACTTGGGACCATGAAGATCGCCAGCAAGACTCTGGGAATTGACTTTGCTGCAGTGCGTGGACAGAGGAATGGACTCAGCACCACCATGGAGAGCAACGTCATCTACACGACCAGAGGAGGAGTTTGTCGAGGTCACATGTGGTGACGGCCAGACATCGCATCAGGATGATGTGGTGGATGTCGGTTGGGACGCAGCTCGACCGGCAGAAGAAGAAGAAGAAGAAGAAGAAGAAGAAGAGGAATAAGAAGAAGAAGGAGGAGGAGAAGAAGAAAAAGAAGACCACATTGAGGAGGAAGGGACGAATGAGGAAGAGAAGCATCAGGACGAGGAGCAGGCTCAGCTGACTGGAGCAGAAGAAGAGGAAGAGGAAGCTCTAGATGATGAGACCGAGGAAGCCGCGGACTACTGGGACTACAACGTGGAGACCAAGGACCACACCATATCGACCAGAGACACACAAGCTGGACCTTCCAATCGATCTGGAACGTCTTAGCGGAGTACGACACACTTCGAAGCGAAGCAGATGACCGGATTGAGCACGTCAGGTGTGGACATTTGGATCAGAGAAGATCATGGAGTCTCTACTTGTCAAGGGACCAAGAGAGGAGGACCGAGCTGGGATTTGGCTTGCCAGCGGAAGACTTTTGACTTGGACACAGGAATGTGGCTGAAGATCGATGATGAGGCCACTCTTAGAGATCCGAGCCAGGTGAATCGAGAACTGCCACCCGATGCCAAGAACATCAGAACGGAACTCTACATGGCAGTCTTCGAGATCCTACCTCAATAGGAGCATCAGAAGGAGACCAAATACATGATGGACCCAGAAGACGGCAAAGGAATCCTGAAAAGGAATCAAAAGAAGAAGCTCGAGACCAATGTCGCTGCGATGGAAGACCAAGATGTGGCGATGTGGAGCACCTTCATGGGACTGAAGCCCAGAGTTCCACGAGGTTTCAAGTTGTTTTTCTTTGAACTCTTTTGTGGGGCTGCAGTTTTGACCGTCTTTGTCAAGCACAAGGATACGACGTGTGTGCTCCTATGTGCAAAACTCTGACTAAGCAACGGTCACAACAAATCGCCGCACATCCATGGCTGCATGCCTTTTTGATCGTATCCCAGAGCCTTCCGTGCTGCAATGACGAAACAAAAGAGTTGGCAAGAAATGACTGCATGGCTTTCAAGTCAGTTGCAATCCTGAAAATTCACACTGGTCCTATTCTTCTCTGACTTGAAAGTCTTGTGCAACCGACTCTTTGCCGCAGACATCTCATGGAATTGGGCCCAACCGAGACTGTCTCTGAAGGCCTTTCCCTTCCCAGCTTTCGTCATGAAATCTGCAAGCTGGTGTCTCGTTGGCACCCACCACAGTTGTGCACGGCTGGAACCCGGCTTGATTGAACACATCTTTCTCAGTAACAGCACTTGAATGATGGATCCTTTATCGCTCACATGGTGACCATCCTTTCGGATGTGATCATAAATAGACTTGCAATCCGTTATCATGTGAAGTGGAACTACATCCTGCCAATCCTCTTCATCCAAGGCTGTGACAAGGTCGGGGCCAAAACGTGATTCGGCTACTAAGGCCTGCACAAAACGTCCCAAACCGTTTGCTGAGATCGCGGCATGGGTCTCTGCTGAAAGTGAGCTTTCTACAACACGTTTATTCGTGGTACTTTTCCAATCAACAATATTCAACCGGACCTTATTACCAACCACATCCATATCACCCTTACGAATCATTCCAACAACAGCCCCCTTCTGAGAATACACAAGTTTCTTCTCACGACCAGTAAGTAAAATATCATCAGCTTCTTTATCCGATATTTCAACACCAACACTGTTAAACAAACTGGCATCATGAAAAACAACGACCTCGCAATTGGTACCAAGATCATGAAATTCAATCTCAAAAGGATTAGCAACAACTTCTTTGACGCACTTGTTCGCACGAATAAGATCACCAACCCGTAAATCACCAACCCGTTTCTGAAGTTGATTTACTTCAAAGGCAACATCCGGTCGGGATTGACTCGCTAGCCATTGAAGACTACCAACACATGAACGAAAGTCAGTACGCTCACTCTCCGAAACTCTGGCGTCAGGATCCCTAGCCCTTTCTTTTGAAATCTGGATCACACCAAGTCTACCGTCCACAAACCCTTGCTGAGACAAAGTGGCAAAACGTTGGGCTCCGGATCCCTTAACCTTGATCTCCTTTCCACAGTAGGACACACCCGCCGATTCCTTGGCAACACTTTGCCAAGTCCCAAAAGGAAATCTGCCATGTAGCCGCTGCACAACTTCCTTAGCAAAAATTCCTTGGTCTGTGCCAATCATCAAGTCATCAACATGTATGATCATCATACCTACTAACTTTCCAGTAGGGTCTCTCAAGTAGAAGGCGGCGGGATCCACCGCACTGCGCACAAAACCAAGTTCCTGTTCGAGAACTCTTGCAAGTTCATTGTACCAAGCTCGTGGGGCATCAGGACGTCCATACACACTCTTTCTAAGTTTTAGGATCTGTCCTGGGAGTAAACCTGGCAAACCCTGCTTTGGCTGTTTCATGAACATGTCTTTTCCTTCAAGTGGGGCACCCTGCAAAAACGCATTGCTAATATCCCCAACGAACCAATTATCAATCCATCCATTACTCACAACAGTGTGTAAGAACAACATGGTGGAAACTCTTTCAACCGTTGGGGAATCCAACTGCAATTCACCACTCATGGAATCAGGGCACAAATGACCAGCCAAGCAAAGCCTTGCCTTAGGTTTCAAGGGGAGTGAAGTTCCATCAGGACCCATGAGACCTGCATTTTTGTTCCTCAAAACAAAACGACTGGGTAAAACACGGTCAGGTCTCTCCTGTTGCACCCTTTGACTTTCTTCTACTGACAGAACCTCACAACTTTCATATTGCAACCAGCTGCTCCATTCCTTTGCGATGGCCTCCTGATAGGCAACCCTTTCATTATCAGGTATCTTTTCCCATGGAATCTCTTTGTCCAACATCTTCTTGAGACGGTTCTTACTTTCAACCACATGGACATTGTGACTAGATTGGGAGTCATCCGCAACTGCCTGTTTGGGTTTCTTTTTGAGTTGCCAAGGGACTGAGTCCTCGCAAATCTGTCGCCGGGTGCGACTGCAAAACACCGTGACCAAGGTGCTGACTGGCCCACAAGGAAGCAATGCATGTGGATCAACTTGATCAACCCACCGCACATCCTTCTCTAGCTGAATCCAGCTGCCCGACTTATATGCCCAGGTACTTCGGAAGGGGAACATGTTGGGATCATACTTTGGGGTTGGAGTACGGTAAGCCCAAACCGTCTTTGAAACCAAAACAGGATTACCAAAATCATCCTTTCCCCAACCACTTCCCTGAACTGATTCAACAAGTTTCCCAGGCACAATCGGTGGACCAGTGTCTGGTGGTTCCTGACCTTCATCAAGCTCCCCAAAAAATTCATCAATGTCAATGTCCAAAACATCCGAATCGGGGCCCTTTTGTTTGGTCAAATCATCAAAGGTAGCACCCTTACAAACACCCTTGAACAAGGCAATGGACTTTTGGATATCCGGTTCTCCATAGAAACGTTCATCACCCTCAACCTCTCGCAGATGTTCGCTGGCTACCAACATGCACCTACCACCTACTGCAACCCAAGCATTTGATCCTTGAAATCCAACAATACAACCAGGACCTTGCCATTTGGTACCCTTTTGTCGGTTCTTTTTCGGAACATCCTCTCTCCAGAAGAACACACGTTGACCAACACGAGGAGTAGGAATCTTACGTGTTCGAGCATGGACAGCCCTACCCAACATTTGTTTGGCCTGTGCCTTGATGTATTCCATTTTGGCATGATACCGAAAACGCATGCGCCTAGCAACTTCACTTCCAGGTGTACCAACATCAGGATGATAAGTGATAGGATTCCCTTGACCAATCAATTCTCCAAAAACCCGGGGTTCCTTCCCAAAAACCAGGGTAACAGGTGACCAACCATGTTCTCTGACCAAGGAATTCTTCGCATACGACACTTCGATGGCGAGCTCTTTCATAGCCTCTTCACCTTTAGCCTGCGTATGATTAATGACGTTTTGAAGAATATCCTTAGCCATTTGATTATGGCGCTCAATTTTGCCCGCTTGCCAATGCGCGGTGCCTGCTATTGACAAGGTGAGCGAACCAGCCTTTCCTACTTGGTCCCAGAAATCATCACCGGCGAAACCACCCTCTCTATCCACCGTAATTTGATTAGGGGGTCCAGCCCAAGTTATCCAATTGTCACGAAAGGTGACATAAAGTTCCTTAGGTGAATGGTTGGACAACGGAGTGACAACATGGTAGGAGGTAGCCCGATCCAAAATTGACAGGAACCATTGGCCACGCCCAGTTGCATCATGCGCCTTGAAACAATCCAACTGGACTTCATCTCCAAAAACAACTTGATGGGGTGGCATGGAAACATTTCGATGGGTTGACGGCCTACGTGCATGACTACAAGTGATACACTTCATCCATTCTATCGCTTCCAAAACCTCCCCGGTCACACCACCCAACTTCAGAAAACGCAACATGTCAGCTTTGGATGGATGACCCAAGTTGCAATGAATTTTGCATAAAGACTGCCTCACTGGATCGCTCAATTTCCGGCCAGGCGGCACCTCGAAACGAATGCCACCAGCTGCCAGAGACTTGCCAGGAGTAGAACGACGGACTGGTAGTCCACCTTCTGCAGCATTGCCAGACTCGCCATCGCCTAATTGAACTGAGGGCATCGGCTCATCGGGGTCCTCAGGGTTGGCTGAACTTTGCACTGCAAAGACTGCATTCCATCTGTCAATGGCTTTCTTTAGTGACTTTTCACTCCACCTAAGTGCAGAAGTAGGACCACCCTGTTTGATTCTTAAACCCACAACCCTCAACATGTGACGAATCCTACCTGGTTCTTTTCGTTTCAACATGCGAACATAACCACGATGAACAGCCTTAGCTATGTCTTCAGTATATTTTCCAGCATGCGCAGTTTTGTCAGCACCACCCAGGCACAGCCCATGTGTATGATGTCCCGGAACCGTTTCATTCCAACAACGCACTGACAATTCATCACAAATTTCAGGGGAGGTACTAAACCACAAAGTTGGTTTCTTCAGGGGTTCACCAGTGCGAACATGCTTGATTCCTAGGCGGCATCCATGGCTGACACCTGAGTAAACAGCAGGGTGAGAGAGAATCCGACTGATAGGTGGCTGAACAAATGACACACTGCTCAAAGGATTTTCACCTAGGGCGTCTCCCCCTTGCTGCAATTGCAAATCAAAAATCTTCTCACAAAGTTCCAACAATGGCTTCTCTCTCCGTCGTCTGGCCTCTAACCGTCTTTTGGCTTGACTGTCAGAACATGCAATGTGATTTATGGGGGACCACCATTTACACGGATAACTAACAATCACCAAGCGAGGACGAAACTTCCGGATCCAGTGCAAAACCCTCTCACGGTTATCTTCAACATACAAGTCCATACCATATTGAATGTCAATGGGTTCCAGCGGTGTCCATCCCCAAGACGAGAACTGCCAAGAAATCTCAGCAGATCCGCTGAAAATCTCAAGACAGTCAGGCCTTGAATTGTACATGTGCTTGCATGCAGATGCTGATGCACTTCCCACACATGCCGAGGTCATCAGACACATGGCCAAAAGAATCTGCTTAGCATTGTGATAACACCTTCTCATGACTCCCTTTTTGAGATACTCCCTACGGACACGACCAGCCTGGATCCTGTCACGGATCTCTGATTGAGAAAGTGGTGTCACACGGTCAGAGGGATCCCCGGCTCTCAGTTCTTCTCGTCCGGGGGAGGAACCTTGGTCTTTTGCTGAGCCTTGGCACGAGCTTCCTTGATGATCTGCACTTCCTGCTCGGTCAGGTTGATGTTCTTGTTGCGATCCCCTGGTTCCCCTTGGGTGTCCATGCCTCCATCCTCGGAATCCGACGGCACATGCATCCAAGAACCGTCCGAGACGTGATGGGGAGCTTGAGTGAGCCTCTTTCTCACCGCCCTTTGTTTGGTGGGTTTCATGTACCCCTCTGCCATCTTCTCGCTTTTCATTTTCTCCCTCACATCTACTCCCGCTGAGACGCATGGCATGGTCTGACGGCACTCGGGGAAGCGGATGCATCCGAGAAAGGTCTCCTTGCTCACCCTGTTGGTGCACACTATCAAAGGGATGGTGCACTTGGGACACATCACCGATGCCTGAGAATCTTCGCTCAGCCCTTTTTGCTGCATCTCCTCCTTCACGTCTTGCTCCCACATGCTCAGCTCCATGATGAGCTGTCCCCGACGCCAGCGAGTCCAATGGCCATCTGATGGACGCTCCAAATCCGGGATCATACACTCCTCGTACAAGTTCTTGAGACTCTGCAGGTCGAATTTCTTCCAACCTGGGGGCAGCACAGTGCTGACCTTGGCTGGCTTGATCAAAGTCCAAATCTCTTTGAGCCTGTCCACGGAATGCACTTGAAGATCTTGGGCACTCACCGACGTGCGAGCCGCAATGGCCGACACGTACTCCGGCTTGAGTTTCGGTGCCAACATGGAAGTCATGGCTTGGACAAGTTGCTAGAGCGGAGTTTGCTGGGCTTTTGTCCAGCTCAGAATTTTGTGTCTGGCTGGAAACTTCAAGTCTTGAACACGCTACGGTATTGACATGATGGGGATCATTACTGGAACCAACTTGACCACCCAAAACTTGATAAGGCTCTGGGATGTTTTGGGAACTTTGGTCAGAACCCTCTGTCCTTGGCTCGCAAATGATCACCTCCTTGTCAATCTCATCCATCGCATCCCAAAGGTCTGGATCCTCTGGCAAAGACACTGCATCATCACTCCAGAAGTAAAAGCCCATGTGGTTGGAGCTGGTTGTCTCCAGAGAGATGGTAGTGCCCAAGCGTGTGAACTGAATGGAGGATCGTGGCATGTCCATCACTGCACCCAAATCCAACAAAACTTGTCAGCTGACCAGCAAAGTAAAGGTACATCCACCGGCACCACACTGACCCGCAGAAACACCGATCTCTTACCTTCTCCCAGAAACGTAGGAAGAACCACAGAGTACTCTGACCAGATTCTAGGGCCGGCACCAAAGCGAAAACCTTGCCTTTCTCGCAAAACATAAAAGTTTGCACCAGCCCGCCAAAGCTCCTTCATAGTCCGATCCATCCACTTGGAGCCAGCTACAGTCCTAGCACAGCAAGTGTCACTGAGTGCCAAAAGCTGCCCATTCGAAGGAATCGATGCCAATTCAGTTCCGTAGACTGTGTTGACATTGACCATGAACACTTCCTCAGAGTCCGTGGACAACACCTCGTTCTCCTGGGCAACCACAAAGACACCCTTGCTTGCCTTGCCGTCCCCTTTGCCAAAGAAAGGACATTCAGGATCGGAATGCCAGTGGCCGTATGTTGTTCGACCATTGGCCTTGCAAGCACTGCAAGGCATGCGTGCCTTGAGGCTCGCAATGCGAGCTTGACGTTGTTCAGCTGTCTCATTCTTGGTGAATCCACGGGCTTGTTCAGCCTGAGCTCTGCGTTTTGATGCCTGGGTAATGAGCACCCGTGCCTGGCGCTCCAACTCCTCCGGATCAGGCTCTTCGTCTTCTGGGACTCCACCATCACCATGTTCATCTGGTTCTTGGACTTGCGGAGCATCATCATCAACGATGTTGACCTTATTGATCTTCACGTTCTTCTGCACGTAGAACTTGGTCCTCACGGGATTGGCTGAATTCGGTTGACCAGTCGGATGCCTGTCATCATCCTCGTGTTTCACACTTGGAACAATGGCCATGAGGGCCTCACGCAGTCTTTCATATTGGTAACTGCCTCCGGATGCTGTTACCACTTGCTTCCGGAGCTCCTGTCCCAAGCTTGCCGTCTCCAAAAACCACCATGACTTGACAATCCCTGTCAACCCAGCACCAACCTCATCCAGCTTCTGCATCTGTGCGCGAAAGTTCATGTCGAAGTTCACAAAGCTTTCGCCCTTCTCTCGGCGAAAATTCCGAAAGAAGTGATGCAACGTCTCAAAGACACGGATGTATTCGACCGGTTCCAGTTCCTGTTGCAAATGGCTCAAGAGATATTCTACACCCCCTGAGGATTGCAACCTGGAAAGATCTAAGGTCTCAGTGCTCTTCCATGCCAGTCCCGTCATTTGCTCCACCAATCGTCCTGCACGAAACTCAGGGTCAATGCCAGTCGATGCTTCGAACAGCTGGACTCGACGCCTAAAGTCTCGTACAGAGGTGCTGCCATCATAGGAAGGAATGATGTCCTTGCCAGTCTTGGGTTCACGTGGCCTGGATTGGTTGGACGAAGCTGCTTGAGAACCTGCTGCTGGCTCTTCACCTTCGACGCTAGGAACATCACCAGGCACTGCGTCATGCATTTCTGAGGTGTCTGACCCTCTCCTACCATCCCAGTTGGTCTCCTCGGAGACTTGCAGAGAAGCCCTTCTACCCTCATTCATGCCAGCATTGCGCGAATCATCATAAGCCCACGGCTGATTCCAATGCCACTGCCTATCCCAGTAAGTCCATGGCCTATCATGCCAAGACCAGCCACGATCTCCCCACCAGCCCATCCAGTTGCCTTGCCTTTGTTGCCATTGGTCAGCTTGACCATCTGCTTGAACTTGCCCATCTGCTTCTAGCTCTTGTTGCTGCTCATCATGATCCTGCCAGCGGTCATCGCCCCACTGCCAGTCATCATAGCCTCGCCACTGCCACGCCATACCCTGCTCCACGCAACCAATGCAAAACTCTGACTAAGCAACGGTCACAACAAATCGCCGCACACCCATGGCTGCATGCCTTTTTGATCGTATCCCAGAGCCTTCTGTGCTGCAATGACGAAACAAAAGAGTTGGCAAGAAATGACTGCATGGCTTTCAAGTCAGTTGCAATCCTGAAAATTCACACTATGGACATCCACAGCGGATGGGATGCTTTGAAGGCGGACCATCGATGATGGGCAGAAGACATCCTGGAGAAGGAGAGACTATTTCTCCTTGCGATTGCTTTTCCTTGTGGACCTTGGTCACCATGGCAGAGGTTGAGGGCAGACAAAGAAGCTTTTCCTCGTGAACGTGCAATGTGGCATCCCGTGTTGATGTGGGTGAAGAAAATGATCAAGAAGCAGAGGCAACTTGGAGGATACAGTTTGGCAGAGAATCCTTGGCCATCTGTAGCCTGGGAAGTGATCCGAGATTTGGAGGACGACCCGCACCTACATGACGATGACTCAGCCTTCCAGATCCACAGGATTGATCCCTGCCAGTATAGACTTCGAGATCAGGAGACTTTTGGGGCTCATTGGAAGCCCACAGGAATTGCCACCGATTCACGAGAAGTTCGAGCAGCTCTCAACGAGAAGTGCACCGGAGACCACGTACATCAGAGGGATCCAACACATATGGAAGGAGGACTCGTCAAGCTGCAAACTGGACAGCGCCCTTTTGCAAAGCAATCATCAAGGGTATCCTCAACGAGTAAAAGGCCCAATTCAACCAGGTGGCATTTGCGGCCGAGGAAGTTGAGGAGATGAGAGATCAGGAGCATGGAAAGACCTTTGATGCAGTCTATGGAGAAGAGGACCTTGGGACAGGTTTGCCGAGTGGAAGAACGGCGCAAGAAGCAGACATTGTGAGACAGGAAGAGATGGACTCACAGGAGAGAGAGGCTGACCCAGATTATGAGAAGATGAGGAAACAAGAGTGGAACAAGCTGACTGAGGATGAGAGGATCAGCATCAGACGTCTACACGCTGCATGACATCTCATGCAACGAAGCCACAAATGCAGAGGATGCTTCGTTATGCAGGACCGAAGCCACACATCATCAAAGGTGTGAAGCACTTCAGATGTGCAGTGTGTGAGAAGCTGATGACTGAACGCCGCGTACCAATCACCAAGGTACCAGGAGACTACGTCTTTGGGGATCACGTGGGCACCGACATATTCGAGGTGCGAGACTGCGATGGATGCTGATGCACGTGACCTGCTCGGGAACCACTTACCAGAGTGCTGAAGTGGTTGGCTCATCTTCAGGTCCTCCACCTTCATCAAGATGCCTAGAGGCATTCAACAGGTGCTGGATTGCCTGGGCTGGCACGCCCAAGGCCCTGATGGCCGACAGAGGCTTGCATAACAGGGGCAAGTTCATGCGTGAACTGGAAAGAAGACGATGCCAGTTCAATCAAGCTAGCGGCAACAACTTGGACGAGTTGAACGGCAAGGTGGCACCCTCAAACATCTGGTGCAGAGGATCATTGAGTCGGAGAACGTCACGGGTGAATTGGATGTGTCTCTTGCGGTGACAGTGGCTTTGGAGGTCAAGAACAGCCTCCAATCAGTTTCAAGCTTTTCACCAGCACAATGGGTGTTGGGTAGAAAATCCTCGAGGGGCGGATAGGCACTTGGATGGATTGGACCGACAAGAAGATCATCCAGGAGGAACCCACGAAGATGATCCGACCATGGAGTTTGCATAGAGACGTTTGATGAGATCAGCAGCAAGGAAGCTATAACTATAACCAAAGAGACGAGTACGTGCTGCAATGCTCAGACATGGGTTTGAAGAGCCGATCACCTACAAGTTGGGAGACATGATATCCTTCGCGAGAAAGCAGAAGAGCAAGTCAGAGGAAGGACCACAAGCACGAATCAAATGGTATGGTCCGGCTCGGGTGATAGCCCGGGAAGGCAAGAATGTCTGGCTTCTGCATGGAGGAGTCCCACTTTTGATTGGCACTCACATGGTGCGTCCGAGGAATCCAGAAGAATGTCTCGAAGCAGAACTTCAGAACTACTTGAAAGGAGGAATTCTAGGAAGCGCAACAATGAGGCGCTTTTGGATGATGTGAAGCAACCACATCACTTTGACCAAGCTCAGCAACAAGCTTTCCTGGATTTCAGAGGACGACAAGATGATCAAGTGGAAGGAGAAAGCTTCGGAGAGATTGCGGGCATCAATGCCCTTGCAGGAGGAGCACCACCAACAGAGGCACCTCAAGGAGATCACTCTCCTAAGAGGATGAGGAAGATGATCGAAGAAGAGGAAAAGAAGGAACAAGAAAGAGATGAAGGAGGACCACCTATCCCAGAGGTGGAATCAGAGGGAGGATATACGGATATACTCCTACAGATGCAGCACCAGATGAGATCCAACCTTTACCAGTACCACCTGGGGATCAATATCCACCTACGACCGTGAAGACAAATTTGCAACTGGCAATGGAAAGCATGTGAGGCAACACACTGGATGTTGGTCCAGGTATGGCAAGAAGGATGAAGCAGACTAGAGAAGGACCATACACTGCGCCAGAGCGTGAGGAGGATGCCAACTATGCTATCCACAAGGAGTTTGTTTGCTTCATGGCCAAAGGGACGAACAAGAAGAAGGCAACAACTGGAGAGAAGACCTGCAGGAACGAAACACCAGAGATGCAAAGGAAGCTTCGGGAGTCACGAAACAAGGAGTGGAATAGCTGGAAGAAATACCAAGCAGTTCGCTTGATCACTGCAGAGGAGGCCCAAGCCTACTGTGACCAGGGATACAAAGCCATACCCGCACGGTGGGTCAGCCTAGACAAGAATGGGAAATTGTGCGCTACTAGCCATGAGGTACAGGAGAAGCTCAAGTCTCGCCTGGTGATTGATGAGCAGAGACTTGGAAGAAGGATCATTCCGAGTTGACTGCCCAACCGTGTCAACATTGGGACTTCACCTGTTGGTGAGCAATGCTGCATGTCGTGGACTACGGCTGATGAGCAGAGACATCAGTACAGCATTCCTGCAAGGAGCACCGCTCAGTCGCAGCCCTTCGTGAGAAAGCAGAAGAGCAAGTCAGAGGAAGGACCACAAGCACGAATCAAATGGTATGGTCCGGCTCGGGTGATAGCCCGGGAAGTTAAGAATGTCTGGCTTCTGCATGGAGGAGTCCCACTTTTGATTGGCACTCACATGGTGCGTCCGAGGAATCCAGAAGAATGTCTCGAAGCAGAACTTCAGAACTACTTGAAAGGAGGAATTCTAGGAAGCGCAACAATGAGGCGCTTTTGGATGATGTGAAGCAACCACATCACTTTGACCAAGCTCAGCAACAAGCTTTCCTGGATTTCAGAGGACGACAAGATGATCAAGTGGAAGGAGAAAGCTTCGGAGAGATTGCGGGCATCAATGCCCTTGCAGGAGGAGCACCACCAACAGAGGCACCTCAAGGAGATCACTCTCCTAAGAGGATGAGGAAGATGATCGAAGAAGAGGAAAAGAAGGAACAAGAAAGAGATGAAGGAGGACCACCTATCCCAGAGGTGGAATCAGAGGGAGGATATACGGATATACTCCTACAGATGCAGCACCAGATGAGATCCAACCTTTACCAGTACCACCTGGGGATCAATATCCACCTACGACCGTGAAGACAAATTTGCAACTGGCAATGGAAAGCATGTGAGGCAACGCACTGGATGTTTGTCCAGGTATGGCAAGAAGGATGAAGCAGACTAGAGAAGGACCATACACTGCGCCAGAGCGTGAGGAGGATGCCAAAAGGACGAACAAGAAGAAGGCAACAACTGGAGAGAAGACCTGCAGGAACGAAACACCAGAGATGCAAAGGAAGCTTCGGGAGTCACGAAACAAGGAGTGGAATAGCTGGAAGAAATACCAAGCAGTTCGCTTGATCACTGCAGAGGAGGCCCAAGCCTACTGTGACCAGGGATACAAAGCCATACCCGCACGGTGGGTCAGCCTAGACAAGAATGGGAAATTGTGCGCTACCAGCCATGAGGTACAGGAGAAGCTCAAGTCACGCCTGGCGATTGATGAGCAGAGACTTGGAAGAAGGATCATTCCGAGTTGACTGCCCAACCGTGTCAACATTGGGACTTCACCTGTTGGTGAGCAATGCAGCATGTCTTGGACCACGGCTGAAGAGCAGAGACATCAGTACAGCATTCCTGCAAGGAGCACCGCTCAGTCGCATCGCCATTTTGAAGGCACCAGCAGAAGGAATTCCATGAGAAGACTATGAAACCATGGAATTCGAAACTGGATCCTACATGTTGCCGAGATGGCGATTTATGGAACACGAGATGCACCACGGGGTTTCTGGCTATCCTTGAAGGACGAAGTGGTCAAACAGCTGGAGGCACATGAAGGAACCGGAGAACTAGCTCTATACTCTGTGACTACGAATGGACAACTGCACGGATACATTGCAACGCATGTGGACGACGTTCTTGGGAGCTCAGATCCCATTGTCGATGAGATCATGGAGCGCGTGCAGAAGAGGTTTACCTTTGGGTCTGTGGATGAAGGCAGTTTGAGGTACTGTGGACGGAGCATTGGGGACAAGGAGACCTACATTGAGATCAGCTGGCCAAACCGATCTACATGAAAGATGGACGACAACGGGAACCATCAGACAAGGCAACACCAGAAGAACAATCACAGATGAGAGGAGTTGGGAAGTCTGGGATGGGTTTGCCGACTTTGCAGACCGGAGCTCAGTTACAAGACTTCGGCATTGCAGGGACAGCAGTGTCGCCCGTGGTGATGGATCTGATCAAGGTGAACAAGTTTCTCAGTGCAGCTCAGAAGACCAGTGAGAACGGGATCAGGTTCTACAAGAATCACTTCAACTTGCCTGTCCATTACGGACGCTTCACATGCAGCCGAGCTACATGTTGGAGGAGATGGATATGAGATACCGAGATACCGATTTGAGGCAGGAAGAATGCTTTGCTTGGCAGACAGACTGCCAACCGTGGAAGCACCGGCCAAAGTGCATCTACTGGAATGGTCGAGCACTACGTTGAAGCGAGTGTGCCGAAGCACATTGCAAGCAGGGACATGGTCTTCGATCCAAGGGTCAGAGAGTGCACAACATCTAAGGGCTGCAATGTACGGGTCTATTGAAGGTCGAGATGAATCTTGGATGATCCAAGCTTCGGACTACAAGGAGATTGACTGGCTCACGGATTGCAGATCATTGGTGGGCTACATGAGTTCGACAACAATGAGCTCGGTGAGTGACAAGAGGTTGGCCATAGACTTCACGACGCTACGTCAAGAAATCTGGCGTCCTTGTGGCGTTTTGGTGGGAGATCCGGCTTCGCAACCTGGAACCCCGCTGAACGCCAAAGACAAGATGTATTGGGTAAGCACACGAGACATGGTGTGTGATGCCCTGACCAAAAGTATGCGATGGGACGACGTGCGACAATTGTGTACAGATGGAATTATTTTTTCCTAAGTGAAGACGCCAGGAGGGCATTTCCAACATCAGTGGATGAGCATGTGTAAAGAAAGATGGGTGTGAGAATCCATGCATCATCCATCCTTTTCTCGCCGCCTGACGGCTTACCAGGCGCCTTGAGTCAGTGGACAAAACAGTGTCGGGTTGTGACACCGTGCGGACTTTGGTTGGCAGGGTGTCTCAAAAGAGTTCATTTTGCTCAACAGAAGAGATACGCTGAAATATCCTGAATCATCCTGACGAGTCGTGATGAGTGGGCCAGGAATCCCTCTAGTGTCATCTAGTGTATGCCTGGACACAGGCTCCTGAGTGATGACGAATCTGCCTACAGCTCAATCGAAAATTGGCCCCAAATCAGGATCAAAACCATTAAAATCGGGATATTGATGGTACGTCCATCCCAACATTGGATCGATTCAGATGTTGAAAATGGCGTTCCTCATTTGAAGCGCGACGATTGGCAATGTCAACCCGTGCCAGGATTACACTCTTGCTTTGATATTTGTTTCAACCAGCAGGTTGTTCCAGATGAACATTGCGCTTTGGTCGGTCAGCATGAACTCTGTTTTGTGGAGTGAACTTTGACCCATTTTGACCCTGTCTGATGTCCTGGGTCAACATGAGCGTGTCCGCAATCCTGTTGGTTCAGACAAAACCGTCCATGACAGCTCCAACCAATGGCATTGACAGTTTAAATTCAACAGCAGGGTTAGAGATCGCGAGTTTCTTCCCGAATTTGGAAAGGTTCACGTATGAGTATGAGGCTTGCTTCAGCGACATGTGGGGACGATAGTCATCGCTCCTGATTTGGTGATTTGAGATTTTCTTTCCAGCACCATCTGAAAAAAGTCAAGCACCTGTTCTTGACCCATCACAAATTTGTCCATATGTAATCCATTTTCATACCCTACGGTCCACATCTTGTCACATGCGCAGCCATGAATCCCTTGGGCGCCAAAGACGGCCCAGCGTATCAAGGAGATTTGGCTGAGGCAGGATGCGGATGACCGAGGGCGACAGAAAAAACCATGAGTAAACCAGGATAAATCCTCCACAAACCAAGCATTTCAGCCACAGAATTGGTATATTCACCAAACAATGGGGCTCCAACCAACAAAAGTTGGGTATTTGACTTGAACCAACAAATAGGGGAGATAAGCAGCAGAACTGGGGTTTCAGCAAGAAACATTGGGACAACTAGGGATTTCAACACCAAAAAGACAAATATGGATGTAACATTATGTAACCACTACCTGGTGGAAAATGTGAATTTCTCCACACAACTACCGTGCCACTTGAGCCGCAAGAATCCAGACTTATCCTGACCATGCCTTACTTTCTCCACTTCGAATCGGGGATGAGTTGGATTGAATCCGGTCCTCAAACTTGGAACATGGTCATACATTGTAAGATATTTGATTCATCACATTTTATCACATTTTCCACCCAAAATACGTGAATTTGGGTTCATAATTGACCAATCAAATACTGGCGGACCAAAAAGAATTGTAGCACGCGTAGAAAAAATCACTTTCGTCCGTGTGTCAGGTGCAAAGATTGTTGGAACTCAAGATGGATCCAAATGAGACCTGTGAGCCACATGGGTCCTCAGCCGTTCACCAGGCCGGAACATATGCAGATGTGCCAAAATTCAGTGATCACCTGACCATTGCGAAACCACGCAGGCTGCAGTGAAGATGCTGAATCCCACTATCTTAGGGGCAATGACGGTTCTCCGGTTTTGGAGCCGTTCAGGTAGCAACACCGTTTTCCTTGGTGATAAATCTCTGGAATCCTTCCCGTGCCAACAAGTGTTGTGGCACAGGCAGCAATGAAAGGGCACACCGAAGTCCTGCGTCTTCTGCGAGACTTTGGCGCCGTGCCCCGGCTGAACGGTCACAAACGGGTGGTCCGGTGGTCCTCCTTAGATCTCCATAGTGTCCTTCCACAAGGTGAGAAATGTGATGATCTGAAAATTCAGAGTTTGAAAAGGCTGCTCAAAGAGTCTTAAAATCCATCATCGTGAGGGAAATTGGATGCAACGACACATATCCTTGCAGCAGGAACTGGCTTAAGATGTTGACTTCAGGACTGCAGCAAAGTGCGCAGGTGACTGCTATAGCTGGTCAGTCACCAGGTCACCATGTTCTCAACGGAATGTTTTTTTGTTGATTGCCCCAATTTTGAACTTACGATCATCATAGTTCTCAAATGTTCTCAAACACCAACCATTCGTTGGATATAACCATTCAATTTCTAGAGTAAACAGCTTCTACAAATATCTACAACATCCTGGAGTGACTTTCCATTTGTTTGGAACCCGCCGCAGACACATCCTGACTTCGTATTGTCCAAGGACCTGTCAGCCCCAGATGGCCGGATGCTGACAGCTGCACACTTGGCAGCTGATGCTGGGCACGTGGAGGTGCCGAAGCTGCGGCGGAGTTTTTATTAAACATATTAATAAATATTTTTGATTATAGAAATATAATAATATAATGAAATATATAGAAATCGCAGAAACATTACTTTGACATCTTACTGGTAACCTGGTAGCTTCTTTGAACAGTGTCAAAGTTTTGAGACTCTGGGAAGTTATTGGAGGATTTCATCATTTTTATTGGTTGACTGTAGATAACTCCATTGGTATCTAGGAATCAAATTTGATATATTATTAGAATTTATTAGATGTAAATCGATATACTGATATACATCTACAAGTCTACCGCAAAAACTGTCAGGTGCTTCGCTTGCTGCACAAACTGCAGCTGCCCCTCCTGGCACCAGATGGTAGTGGAAAAACCGCGCTCCACCGTGCGGCCGGGGCCATGTTGTGCCATGTTGTAACATTTCACGAGCCACACACTCATGCTTACACTGGCTTACACTCTATACGGAAAAGGTTTGAAGATGTTTGAAGATATGAGTTTGAAGTTTGAAGTCTTTGAAGTGTATTGGTATCTGCGATGTAAACTGCACGGGAACACGTTTTTTGACACTTCGAGCTGCCAACAGTTTATGCTTTCTCAACCTGTTCCCGTGAATGCTCACATGTCACTCAAAAGAGACACGCATAAGTTGGGTTTTGCCTCTGATAAATCGTGATGTGAGTCAAATCCCTTTCATTTTGCGATATTTTGCGCATTTTGTCTGGCACCATTTTCTCTGAAATCCGAACCAAAGCCATTCCAGGCAGCCTCTGGTCATGTGCCTATCCTGGAATTTTTCCAGGTGGGCTATGCGGAGGGTCCTGCAGGGTCGTCCTGGGCCGAGGGTCCTGGATGGTTCTGGAGGGTCTCCAGATGTAATTAGTGTATATAATTAGGGTAGAAATCTTGAGGATACTTATGGATCCTTCATGCAAATTGCATGATGCAAACTGTTTGTATCAGCTCCAGCTAGATTTGACTTTGGATATATCTGGCTCGATTCTTTTTCTTGGAAGACTCTGAGACCACATTCCCACTTGCCAATTTTCACCAATTTCCCTTTGAATCCTTCAGGCTTTGGACGTGGATCTCTTGACACCTGCAGAAAATGGCAAGACGGCAGTGCACTATGCAGCGCAGGCTGGACAGTCCCTTAGCAGAACTGTGGCTCCCAAAGGGTGAGGGGAAGCTGTGGTATGCTGTGTTCATATCTATCACTTCCGGATTTTTCATGATTTATTGATATTTATTGTCAGTAATTGCCACTGGGTTTTATTGTTTTAGGAAGCGCTGACTCTCACCATTAGCATTCTATGCTTGTTTTCTTCAGTGTTTCGCCTTTTCTACCAGTATCAGAAGGGAGAGGCTGCCGAGGAATGAAGTTCTTCGGTACCTACCTCCAAGCTGCAGCAAAAAAATCTTGCAGCTCACAGAGAGCATCTTGAGGCAGCTTTGGCAGGGCGAGAGAAGGGGATCAGGAGGGTGTTGCTACACAGATTCCCAAAGTCCCCTTTAAATCTTTTAATCAATGGGGAAATTGAAAGCCACATGGAAGGTTTAAGTATACATGGAAACCGGACACAAGGTTCATATAGTCCCCTTCCATCCCCTTGCTCCCAGGTTTGTGACACACTTTGCACGTAGGATGAAACCATTCTGACAAGTTGGACACTCTCTAGTGGTTGGTGATACATGTTGTGCCAGGGGCGAGAAGCCGCGAAGGCCCATTCTCGCTGAACACGTTGCACGGCGGACATGGGTTGATGTGGAGGAAGAAGGACCTTGAAAGGCTGAACGTCTGAATTGTGTCATTACCTTGTAATCCTGATATTAGTGGGGGAAGAGATTAGGTACATTTGCCTCCAAATATCGCATTCCTTTGTCGATTCGCAAATGTGTTTCTGTTTTGGGGTACTTCGAGATGTTTCAGGCAGTTGTCAGGTCTCCTAAAATCCCTGGGCACAAAGATATGCTGGCTGTGCTGCCTGTGCTGGGCCGTTCCCAGCTCTGTGTGGGTTTCACCTTGGCCCGGCCCTGAAACGTGGGGCTGTCCAAGTCAAATTCCCGCGACTAAAAAGGTAATTGTCCCTGAAATACAGTTGACTGAATCCTTGAATCGTTTGGAAGAACATAGTTTTGCCAGCACATTGGCTCTTGCGTGTTTTCCACGGTGTGGGTTCTGCAAATTAAACAACATTAAACAACTATTTGTTTGGCGTCTGTTTACTTGCATGTGCATCTTCGTTCTCGGTTTAATCGTTAGGTCTTGTTAAGAACTCTTCAGAATTCTGAATTTAACATCTGATGATGGCGCCCCAACACCGCCACTTGCATGGACTTGTGTGGACTTGTGTGTGTGTGTGTCGGACTTGTATGGACGTGTGGTGTTGGGCGAGTTTAACTGTATATTTGTGGCGATCTTGCTCATGCTTCCAAAAGCAGATAAGTGTAGAGAAAATGAAGTTTGATTGATGCCAGCCACAATCGATTCTGGTGTCCAAATCTTTCAACTGGACAAAAAAGACATTCAGATGTGCTTGGCAAGGAAGCCTGTTTGTGTGATTATGCAATGTTACATTTTTTGCTACCGGTGCTTGGCTCTGCAACAGACAACAGCAGTAACTGCAGCTCAGAACATTAGAGCATTCCGAGATCGAGCTCTTGATGCTGTTGGGAGCTCCACAGTGCCATGACACGGGCGACATTGCAACTGCTGGCGACACCTGCCGTGGTATCAGACAGATGATAGCATCTCTGCAGCATCTTCCGTTGTTGGGAGTTTCAATATGTTTCAATCATTCTGATTGATGAGACTTCCATTGAGCAAGACGCACAGAACAAGACCGCCAAAGACATGCTGTGGTATTTGCGTCCGTGCATTTCAAAAAGGATGCCGGCTGGGAAGATCCCGGCAGCTGAGTCCGATGAATTGTATCGGGGGTATCCTGGGTGATCTGAGCGGGTCTTGTTTGCTTCCCCATCGCTTCAGAGTCATCCCAGTGGACCCGAATGGTTTCAAGAACTACCAAGGCGCCTTCAGCGCAGCATGGATGACTGCTATTCAACTGTGCCTTGATGCAACAACGCACCTGCATACGACCAACTGCTTTCAAAGACATGAGGGTCATTGTCATTGGTTTGTACCTGTGTTCAATTGTCGTAAATCATCAATCAGATAGTGAGTTGGGGGGTTTGGAGCAGGCCAAAGTGCTCAAGATGATTTGACTGATCTTACCAAATGAAATTTGGCCGCTGTCAGCGAGGGGAAGAGCTTGGTCAGCGGGATTCATGTCCAGAAGACCGTGGCCATTAAGAACGTCCGGCTGGGAGTGCTGCAGCACGGCAAAATTCATTGCCATTGGAGCCATCGTCACCCTGGCCGAAAAATGTTGAAGTCTTCAATGAATCCACGTGGGGTTCAGAGATATTCAGAGGGTGCAGGCGACTTGTGCTGCTGCCGGTGACAGCCTGAATGTGCTCCAATGATGCGATCCTGCAGGCAATGCGTGCTCAAAGTTGCTGCTGGAATATGGGCCGTCATCTTGATGTTTTCGATGCGTCCCTTGGCACGTGGAGTGCTGTAAGGTGTCAAGCTTTTGTGACAAGTGATCGACTCATGAGCCGATACTGTAGCCACACCAGAATGCAGGGAGCGTCATTCTGTTTTTGACTGGTGACAACTTCTCCCAGGTGCCTATGACAGCTATGCAGTTCCATCTATCAGCATTTTAGAGGCCTGGCAGGAGCCACCGCTTTCGGTACCTACAGGTTGCTTGGCAGGAAGCCTCCCGTCAAACCATGCCAGTTTTCATCGAGTAAGCGAGTAAGAGGTTGAGGAAACTTGAAGCGTGTATATTTACAATTAAAACAGGGACCTTCACTTCGAACTTCGAATAGCAGGGGTATATACATATATATATATATATAATGGGTTTGAATGGGTCTGAGCCATGAATGCCATGATTTTCCTGGGGAAATCTCAGCAATGAATGCTTTTTAACGCATCCAAAGCTTTGCTTCAGCAGCCCAGCCCAGGTGATCTAATTTATTGTACAAATCCAGCTGCTTGGCACTGCGTTTGGAGATGGATCATCGTGACCGGTGATGCAGAATGATCCCCGCATGTTTTCACTATCCCTCCCATTTTACCATCTATATACTCCGGGTTTTCCATGGTCTTACCATTTTTTGCAAGTCCATTTCGCTACTGTTTGGTTCATGGTCCAATTTTGCAAGTGGGAAGCTTGAGCTGCTGATAGTTGCCGCATCTCCCATTTCTGAGTGCACCCAGTCACTTTTGCTTCTTGGCTTCGCCTGCGCATCATTCTGCTAGAGCATTTTGTCAGGCTCACTTCCATTATGTTTTCAATGTCCCAGCCTCAGTGATGCGACTATGGCCCCAGCCAGTGTTGTCAAGGCAGAGGTCTTGTCGTCCGTGATGCGAATTAAGGATGACTACATCTACAACATGTCAGGCTGCGAACATTTACCCTTCGGTGAAGAGTACACCAAGCGGGGAAACAGCGCCTCGTCCAAGCTCTGAGGCAAGACCCCAAAGGTGAACAAGTCGTAGGTCGATGTAAATTGTCATAATATATAATATATATATATATGTATATATAATACATACATGCATGCATCCATCCATCCATACATACATACCATAACATAACATAACATAACATTTACATAACATTTACATTACATTTACATTACGTTTACATTACGTTTACATTACATTTACATTACATTTACATTACATTTACATTACATTTACATTACATTTACATTACATTTACATTACATTTACATTACATTTACATTACATTTACATTACATTTACATTACATTTACATTACATTTACATTACATTTACTTGAATGCTGCAACAGAAAACTCAATCATGACGCTGTCCACGCTCAAGACTGAAAAGGGATGAAGGTAGAAGCCCTAGCACTCAGCCTCTTGATCCGAGCCATAGAAGTGGGGTATAAGCACTTGGATCCACCCCGAATTGAAGAAGTGCCGCTGACAGCTAGATATAGTTTGAATTGCGATTGTAACTGCACCTGCCAACAATTTAAGACTGGGCTTGGACCACTCACGGCCTTGTTGATTGGAAGTTCTTGTCTGCTAGTTGGTTTTGCAGTTGGGAGGTGTTTGAGGTATGGCCGATCGCAATCAGCACAGAGTCCGAGACGCCACGGTCGAGGAATTGTCGTTTCGCCCCGGACAGAATCTAGCAGTTTGGTACGTTGATGATAGCATGTGGCATGAGCGATTAGTGTTATGGCCGGACATGAGGCCTGGCGAGGTTTCTTCTTGGTGGATACTGACTCCTGACTTAGATGTTTATTCAGAGAGGTATGACTTGAATCCAGCAGAAGGCCCATCAAGAGTTCGCATTAAAGGCACCACCTTCAAGTATTGGAGCAGGTTCTCGGAGCCAACATATCGGTTCAGGGATGCCTTGGAAGACGATGAGGTCAAAAGCTACATGAAACAAGTCATTGAAGGCATCAAGAAGGATGGGAGCTGGGATGATTCAAAGATCCCCGAGAAGATCTTCAACCGTGCTGGAAAAGAAGAGACTTCGACAGCCTACTTGGGGCGAGTCCTTATCCCACGGAGGATTGCAGGAAAGGGTGCCGGCGTCTTGACATTGCCTGCTGCGGAGCCTCTGGAAAGTCCACTTGCTTACTCTGAGGAGGTTTCGGCTGCTATGGGGCCATTGTCCCCTGCTCCAGAGGGATTTATCTGGATCAGCGAAGAGAACGGTTATGGCAAGCGGATTGGAGAGGAGCTTGAGGTGTCAGCAGGTGAAGGTGTTATGCTCAACCACGAGGTAGCTCTGGTGAAGTTGCGCAGAGGATGGATCAAAGGTCGCAAGATGAAGATTGAGGATGTGCCTGCCTATGTAGAGCAGGTGAGGAGGCGATACCAAGAATATTTGGATGAAGGGCGACTGCAGGAGGACTTGGGGCTGGCGGCTAAGCCCGAAGCAAAGCCGAAAGAGGATGATGCAGCAAGCCCTGAGGATGCGAGGGTGCTGGCCATCGACTGGGACGCCCAGGGAGAAAGGTACAAGGAGTTCAAGGTGGCCGTGCAAGAATCTGAAGAGTATCAGTGGAAGGACTGGCCATTAGAGGGCCCACTTTGTTGCCTCTTCCTGTTGAAGCAGATGTTTCGGACAGCAGGGTCCCCAAAGGCGTGGCTGGCAACTTGGGCCCGATTCAAACAAGTCCAAGAGGGCGACCGCATCATGTTTGAGCTTCGGACTTTGGTTGACGCCATTGAGCTAGCCGCCACCTACGACCAAGTGAATGCCCCCGCATTGGCCAGCTTTGAAACAATCAGCCGAAGGATTATGGCGATAGTGGATGCATTCAGTGCTGGGTCTTCCTCTGCACCAGATTGGGGGGCGGCGAAAATCATCACTGGATACAAAGGGCCTGAGGACGTTGTCAGTCCTACACTTCGTCAGTGGGCTGCACGAAGAGGCAAAGACGAAGTGGAGCTCCATCAGGCCCGAACCAAGATGAGGGATGCCCGGAAGAGCTTGGTGGATGAGGCCATGGCGGTTTCCGACGGATCGCTGCCGTCCACAGCCGCCCCAAAGAAGAAGGGAAAAGGTCGGGGTCGGGGGTTGACACCCCCGGCCCAGGAATGAGGCCTTCAAAAGAGAGCCTTGTCCTCGGTCCGGGGCAAGGCTGGGCATTTTCACAGGACCGATCATGCCGACTGGATCCATCCCGCGAGATGCGGGACCTGTTTCCCTTGCCCTGTCCCCCAAAGGTGTGCCAGGAGCATCGACTTAGCAGAAGGTCGCAACAACGCTTTGACCGGAAGCAGAAGATCCTTGCGGACGTCCAGTCTGCGGTAAACGGCCTCAACTGGATGCATGGTTTTTCACCTACTTTCAAATTCGACTCCGCACCTGACCCTATGCAGAAGCAAGTGTTGGAGCGGATGGTGCATTTATCCCGAGTTGCTGCCCATCAAGGTTCTGGGCCTGCTTGGAAGCCGGAAGCAGCCCTCAGGGAGCTGCTCCGTGGCAAGTCGGAGTACGAGAGCCCCGGCATGCCAATCAGTCTGGCGCGCTTCGACATTGAGCGCATCTCCTTGCCAACCAGTTTGGAGGGCGTGCCCCACGTCCTGGATGTACTTCCTGAGGAGGCCCATCATTTTTTGAAGTCGCCCGAGCATATGTTGAGGAGCGAACCCCCGACAGAAGAGCTTATCACACCTTATTGGGATCCTATCTTGAGGAACAGTAAAGCAGCTTACAAATCCCTTATCAAGAAGCTTCATGCCATAGGCTATCTTCGATTTACCCGGAAGCCCCTTGCAAAAGCTGGTTTGTTTTTCGTCCACAAGTCAGACCGTCAGAAAATTAGGTTGATAGTGGATGCCAGACAGGCCAATCAATTGTTTGGTAGTCCTCCAGGTGTCGAGCTTTGTACTTCAGAAGGCTTCGCTCGGATTGAGATCGAAGTACCTGAGCAGTTGGAGCCAGGGAGCCCGGGTTTTCAACAGCATTTGCGGGAGAGAGGATTGGTATTTGGACTATCAGACGTTAAAGATTGTTTCCATCGACTTCGACAGCCGCATTGGTTATCACGGTACTTTGCATGGGAGGAGATACCTGTAAGTTGGGTTGATGATATCATAGGCACGGTTGTAGAAGGAGAGAGGGTGAAGAAAGGCGATAGGCTATTTCCATGTCCCGCGTCTTTGTGCATGGGTTTCAGCTGGTCTTTATTCTTCGCCCAGAGGAGCAGTGAGCATTTAATGTCCAAAGTCCCCAGTTTGGTTTCTTCAAAGATCGTTTCTGATCGAAGTGAAGGTATCTCGTTCAAAGAAGCTGATAAAGGGATGGTAAGGCATTGTGTGTATGTGGACAATCTGGGTGTTATTTCACAGGATGAAGCTGTAGTGAAGCGCTGTCTAGCCGAGCTTGGGCCAGCCTTTGACAACGGAGGATTGATCTTGCATCCTGGCGAGCTTCAGGCCGACGATGTGCGGGCCTTGGGTTGCCAGATGCGAAGTGACTTGTTGGCGGTGAGAGTCACGCCAGAGAGGTATTGGAAGTTGAGGAGGGCGTTGGAAGGTTTATTGCGTAGGAAGAAGGTGTCAGGAAGGATATTAGAGGTGGTGTTGGGCCATATTACCTTTTGCTGCCTCTGCAACCGACAGCTGTTGTGCATATTTTCTTCAGTGTATAAGTATATCCGAAGACATTATTTCTTCCCTAGTGCATGGTGGCCTTCAGTGAGGAGAGAGCTCGAGGCTTTTAGGAGTTTGATGATTTTTCTGCAGAGTGACTGGTGGAGACCATGGAACACGCTTGTCTCATCGTCCGACAGAGTCTGGAGGGTTATGGGGTTTCAACGTCTTTCTGGGATTCAGAGGAAGTCGCTGCTTGTGGCCGCAGGTTAGAAAGATCGCGATTCCGAAGAGCTGCTTCAACTTCGGCCAGAGAACATGCTCTGACCTCAGCAGGGTTTGTTAGGGATGAGATCACCGAAGCATGGCGTAGAAAGCAGATTGGTGATGAGGAATTTATTGAGAAGAGTGGTTGGGAGGTAGATAAGGGTTTTGAGGAGATACCTAGTTATTTGTTGGCCAAGAGCCGTTGGGAGCCAAAGATTTGGGGTCGATGGCATCATGAGGGCAATATCTTGGAGCTTGAAGGCAGAGCTTTAGTCAAGAGCCTTCGTAGGATCGCACTTTCTGTTTTTGGTTCGGATATCCGACAACTGTTGCTGGTCGACAACATGTCAGTTGCCTTGTCATTTGATCGTTTCAGGTCTAGATCCTTTAAACTCTTGAAGCAGATTAGAAGGTTCTCTGCCTATCTTCTCAGTCGTAATATTCACGCAGTGGTGAGATGGATCCCAAGCGAGTTCAATTCCTCGGATGAGCCATCTCAGTTCTACAGCGAGGAGCAAAGCAAGCTTCTCACCCACCTTTTGGAAGATGAAGTCCAAACGGGAAGCGGTGCTAAGACCACCGTTGCCCCGTGTCAGAAAGACTACGGAGCCGAAGAGAAAGCCGGCCTTGAAGAAGGACAAAGATGTGAGGGCGTCAGGGAGCCGTGCCCTGACCATGGACAAGGGCGGCTTGAAGGAGGAGTTGCTGACCAAGAAGGACCAGTATGCCCCAGTGTTCCACCTGATGGATGTGGACCTGTGGGAGCCGTCGTCTTCCTTGAAGAAGAACCAGGCACGGGGCGTGTCCGTTTCAAGTTCGAGCAGCCAGACCACCGAGGTCCCCAGGAGAGCTCGAATGAGAAGGAGAAAGAGGATGTCCCCCGATCTGGTAGATGGCGTCATGGAAAGGACCAATTTTTCGTTGCTGGAGGAGAAAGCAGTGGGAGAGCAGACGCACAAGATCTACAAAGAAGAACTATCAAACTTTCTGAGCTTTGCCCGCCCTTTGGGGTTGGATGTGGAGAAAGCGGAATCCTTGGATCGAATGGCCGTAGACTATATGAACCGGCTGTACGTCCAAGGCTTCCAAGTGTACAAGGCCGACCGGCTTGCGGCCGCCATCCTCCACTTTTACCCGGCTTTTGGGCGAATGGGGAGTTTGAAGTTGCCAAGGATGTGGAGAGCTTTGAAAGGTTACCGGAAGCTGTGTCCAGGCAAATCCAGATTGGCTTACCCGCTTCCAATCTGGGCTGCCGTTGCCAACCGGATGAGAGAGATGGGCCAGCTGAGAATGGCTGTGTTTGTTATGGTGGCGGTTTCGAGCTACGCACGCCCTTCAGAGCTTTTGAGGATGAGGGTTTTCTCGCTGGTGAGGCCTTCAGCGGGAATTACCAGCAGTTGGAGCCTCCTCTTGAGCCCCGAGGATTTGCCGGAAAGAAGCAAAACCGGAGACTTCGACGTCTCGATTGCCTTAGATTCTCCCTTCCTCCGGGCTTGGAGCGACCCAGTGTTCAACCAGCTGAAAAAGTCGCACCCAGAGGACCCTTTATGGGATTTCGATTACAACGAGTACTCCCGAGCCTTCAAGAAAGTGACCGAGCACCTGGGAATAGACAATTTGACCCCTTACCAGACCCGGCACTCAGGGCCGTCGATCGATCGAGCCAAAGGATATCGGACGCAGCTGGAGGTCATGAAAAGAGGTCAATGGAAGTCCCAGTCTTCGGTAGCGAGATACGAAAAGGCCGCTCGATTGGCAGCCACATTCAACAGCCTGCCGATGGAGCTGCAAAGCCACGCCAGGCTGTGCGAAGAGGAGCTTGGGGGTATCATGCTCGGTACCCGAAAACCAATCGCGTTTGGAGGAAGTCAGAAGTGAGAGGCTATTTCATGGATCTTTTTTCAGGCAAAGGAGGTGTTTCAAGAGCAATCCACTCCTTAGGTTTTGAGGCTAAGCAGTGGGATGTTTTGCATGGGCCGCTGCACGATCTTACTGATACAGCAGTGGTCAATAGAATCCTGAGAGAGATAAAAAGGGACAGAGTGAAAGGAGTTATGATGGCACCTGTTTGCACAAGCTTTTCAAGAGCTCGAGATAGAACCAAAGTGATCAGGACACACAGGTATCCTTGGGGAATTCCTCACCGTTTTTTGACAGAGAAGGAGATATCAAGCATCAGACTGGGAAACGCGTGTTTTAGGAGTTGTCTTCGCATCATCAATGAGTTGAATAAGCGTGGTATTCCCTGGATCCTTGAAAACCCTTGGTCGTCACGATGTTGGAATCTTCCTCCTCTTTGCCATCTTATTTCCTCTCAGCAAGCTCACCTTTCTCGCATGGATTTTTGTCAGCACAACACACCATGGAAGAAACCCACGGGATTTTTGCACAACCACATAGTGGATTCTCACCGGCTATCCTGCACCTGCCAAGGCCAGAATGGCGTTTGCAGCCGCACTGGCCGCAGACACTGGCCACTTACAGGCTCAGGCCCGGGTGGAAAGCCGTGGACTGTGTTGGCTCAGCCTTATCCACCAAAGGTTTGCAAAGCGTTGGCCCATGCACTCACCAGCACGTACCACGCCCTGCATTCTTTCTAGTAAACTTGTCTTTTCTTTCGTCCAGCTGTTTACACTTCTTGATTTGGGGAAGTGGTTTGGGAAGCTATGTCCTGAGTCGCTGGCAGAACCGGATGAGATTTATGATAGAAGTTGAGTTGGTGATTTGGGATGGAAGAAGGAAGAGAAGGAAAAGAAAGAAAAGAAGGGTAGAAGGTGGGTGTGACGCCAGCGACCTAAAATGGGTTGCATTCGTGGTCGCCCCTCGCTAGCTGTGACGAAGCCACGACTGCATGAGAAAAGATGAGAGCTGAATAGCCGATCAATCTCCGCTTTGAGTGACAGTGAAAGCATTTACATTACATTTACATTACATTTACATTACATTTACATTACATTTACATTACATTTACATTACATTTACATTACATTTACATTACATTTACATTACATTTACATTACATTTACATTACATTTACATTACATTTACATTACATTTACATACATTTACATACATATACATATATATATATGTATATCCATATAAATATAAATGTTAATATATATATATATATATAAGCCGATGTGATTCGGTTGGATCGTTCATAGATTCACAATCCCCAACATCCAAACCAATCGCGTCTCAGGGAACCATGCTGCTACCTTTTTATGAAGTTTTTACGAACGTGAGGGTCAGCCCATTTGTCTCTGTTTCCCTGTTTGAATTGTTGCTGATTCAAAGACGTTCCGCTTCAGGCCTCTTCTTTCCGACTTCGTTCCTTGGATTGTGCGCATACTGGTCCTTAAGTGGGCGGATCTTCATATTGGTCAATGATGGTCAATACTTGTTGCTCGGGTCATGGACATTATGCCTCGTCCACTTCTGACCTGGTGGACCTGCAGTTTTGAAATGTATCCAAGGATTGATGACGTTTATGTGTGGACATTTGGAGCAAATGAATGTGCCTCAGCAACACGTGGAACTTTGAGGCTCTTGTGTGCGAGCCTGTCTCACTGTTTCCCGTTCTTTTTCCCCTTATCAGGTGCTTGTAGGATGCCATCTCAGACTGCCATAGGATGTGCCGTTGTGACTTTAGACATCTTTAGACTTTAGGCATCTTTAGACCACCTAGTCACCACTTAGTCACCACATGTCACCACATAGTCACCAGTTAGTCATGACTTAGTCATATTTTCGGGCTTCAGCTCCAAAAGCGCTGTGGTAAAATGGCAGCACTGTAACTTTTCCCAGGCGATGCATCGAATGCTTCAGCGCAGGCTGGCCAAGGAGTTGGTCCCACACATCTTCACAGATATCGTGTGAATTTGGATAGCGGGTTCCGGTGGGTTTCAGTATGGGTTGTGAGTTCCCATCTGGAAATACTCTCGTTCAGGGTCACCATGAATGGTCTTAGAATGTCGATTCTTAGATTGTGGGAAGCGGTGAAACTGGGCGGTCTATGACCACCAGGCCATAAACGTAGCTGTAGGTCAGAACTAAACAGCTGCAGACTTGGTAAGCAGGCAGCTGAAATAAGACATGTGGGCCCCCAGTGGTCCTTCTCTCAGCAAGGCCTTCTGCAATGAGAAAGGTGGCATGTTGAGAACCTTGGGCATTGCGCAGAGTGGCGCCTTGCCACCCACGGAAAATGGATGCGAAAGATTGGTGGCCTTGTTTCGTGGTTTTGGCTATCAGAATTTTGCGTCTGTCATTAGCAAGAAAGCCACTTCCCCAAACAGTACAGTAGAACAATTAGCCCAGTTGCAAATTCAATTTGCCTGCTCTTGGGACTCTCAAAAAGTTGGGAAGAAGACCTGAACTTATGTCACACGCAGATGACATGTTGAAATTGGTTCAAGCATCGGCAATGATGGAGTTCCCCCAACTGTTGAGAACAAAATGGAGAACTATCCAAACGATCCGGTTTAGGCAACCGTAAACAGAAAAATGAGCTGGGGGTGGAGGGGGCCATTTTTGGACATTCCCGCATGGTTTGTTTTAGCATCGAAGCTATGGTTGTCTTGGGTTCCAAATTTGAATTTGGTACGGGACAATATGCCGACAACAATGTGCCTTGTGTGCCTTGTTGGAACTGCTGTATTGCAGCTCGAACTGGGCTGAGGTGCTGCCTGTGAGTGCCTCCTACGCCATTCCTTCTTTGCGGTTCATCCGGAGGGTCGAAGGTGGAATCGCAAGATTTAAGGGAATCTATTCGAAACATTTTCGGGAGTGACGACTACCAACCAGATGCTGTTTTCACAGGGAAATTGGTTGGACCGGATTCACTGCACTTTTGCAGTCGTTACAGTTGCTGTTTGGATTTTCTTCGAAGAGTTTGATTGCTTTGTCTTCGACGTATATAACACCCTTTTGAAGCTGGCTGAGACATTGCCAGAGGTTGTTCTTTTCGCACGGCTTTGAAGTGAGTAACCTTGGCAACTGGGGCGACAGAGACAGAGGGGCTGTTGCGTTGTCAAACAACTTAAGCTGCGCCAGAACCTGGCCATTCTCCTTGATATGAAGTTGAAGTGCTTGGGTGACACGTGACAAGTGCCAAAGTAGATACCTGGTGCAGTCCCTATGAAGATGTAGCGAGTACTGGACATGTGTCTGCACTCAACGAAAGTCCGGTGCCACATACAGCTAGCTTGACTCTCAGTCAGTCTTCCAGCAGCTACCTTGCTTGTGCACTGGGTATATGATGCTATATGCAAGATCAATATCCTTTCAATATGAGGCATGCTTGTATTTTTGTTTGTAGTCCCTTGCTCTATTGTGGCACAAGTTGCTGGCTTCCTCCAGCATGACTACAGGAGAAACATTATGGTCTCCTTTTGATAAGCACACTCTCTTTCCAAAGAAATGCAGGAGCTAAAGGGATCAACAAAATCAGTTCTTGTGCCAGTGGCGGCGACAATTTGGGGGATGCAAGCGATGTGTATTATCATGTCATATACCCTCGTGCTGATTTTGCTACTTAGGTGCCTTGGGCTACGGCCGCATGCGTGGAAGTACCAGGCTGGACAAGAACCAGTACACCAACTTCGGCAACGGTAACTATGGCGACCATTGGCAGGCCAGGGCTTGTTGCTACAACGGAAAGTCCTGCCAGCCGCTTTAGTTGACAGGACCTGCATGACGAAGGCATTTTGACCATTATTCAAGATCATTCAGGTGGAGGGCTTGGGGGGCATGGATCTGTAGTGAATGTTTCAACGGGCACGCAGGCAGCCTATGCACATATCAAAAGAATGCATCATTGATCCCTGTTAGATTGTGACTGGCAAGGCCCTTTCAAACATTTGGATAATGCAGAAGAGCACCTATGGCGATGCATTGTATGACAATGTTGGCATATGTTGGCATCAGTAGCTGTGGGTCAAAGCTAAACACAGGCGGTACTTTTTGGCGTTCATATTTGAGAAGGTACAAGAGAATGTAGAATCCTTTCTCAGTGGCTCTTGGGGTTAGATGGGTGTTCCCCAAAACTGGGGACTTCTCAATCATCCAACTGTTTGTGGTCTATTTCAAGAGCAGTGAAGATCATTTTCCGTGCATTTGCTTTTTTGTGAGTCTGCATAATCCTACGAACATTGGTTGTGATGCACATTTTGAACTGTTTTCTTTCGTTTCCTTCCCATTTTCTGATCCGTCCAAATCCATGCGTCATGGACCCATCCCTTTTCCAGGCAAAAGCTGCAGCCTAGGCGTGGGATTGGGTGCTCGTTTCTGGTTGGTCAGTTTTGGCTCCATACCCAGGATGACGACATGGCCAAAATTTTCCAATCTCTCAGGATTCGGTTGATGTGTCCGGGATTAACAGAATCCTGGGTTTGATGAGTGCCTTTTGATACCTTTTCGCAATCTGTTTCTGCCAGTGGTGATTGAGTTGTAGCCAAGTTTCGAAACACCCTTTTGCTTTGTTGTTCGATCTAGTTTGGAGCTCCATCATCCAGAGTCGGCTGGGGACAATCCTTGAAGTTGGCCAATGCAATGGGGCGAGTTGTGTTCGCCCAAATCTATCCCAGTGTTGGGGAATTTTGTCACAGCAGCTGAGATGAACTGAACACATGGAGTATGGATGATCCGCCCAGTGTGGCTTCCAGGGCTTCTGCGTAGCCATTAAACAAAAAGATGTTGACGACAGAATTGCTTTGCGAAATCCCACGGGCCAACAGCGATTGGGATGTTTGGGGTGATAGCAAAAAAATTGGATGGTGAAAAACAGGGTACCCGAAAAAGCTGGCAAAAAAAATCAGTCGGCAAAAAGGAACCAGATAAACAAGGGAGTTTGGAAAAAGTGGAATCTGACATAGAAGGGGAAGCATAAACACGTGGGATAGGGAAAAAAGATGGATGGGGCACAAGGGGAATCGAAAAACCGGAGAACGAGAAAGGTGGATTGGAAAAAAGATGGTATGAGTATGGGAAAAAAAAGAACTGGGGATCAGGGAAACATGGGAATTAGAAAAACGGAGTCTGGAAAAAGGGAAGCAGAAAAAAATCTAGCTCTCAGTATGCATGGTGGCTGGCATGTGTGCGGTTTGGGAGTTTTTCTGTCATCTGATTGTCTTGGAGCATGAACAAATCGAACAAATCAAGGGCTAATTTGATTTGCTATCTAGCGTCTACGTGTGCGCGTAACTTGGTGTTGGGGCAACACTGTCACTTTGCTCTCTTCGTAGGGTCAAGAACACTATCTGATTGGGTTTGATTCGGGGACAGCCGCAACTATCCTGTTGCAACATGCCCAACATGTTGAACAATTGTAACATGTTGCAACAAACTTCAGTTGTTGGGGACCCTATGCCATCTATACCAGGGCACGTGATCGCTGGACGGTGTGCAGGCGGCAGCTCCAGATTCTCGCCAGCGGCCGCACGTCAGGGTATTGGCGGATTGTCTCTTGGCTGCATTTCCACCTTTTCCAACTGAAACATGTCAGGTTTTGAAACTGGAACATGGCTTCCCCGGTTGATAGCACAGCGATGACATTATTGAGGTTCGAGCCATGCACTTTTTCAGGTAGTAGATCTCCAGAAAGGTCTGGTCCCTTTGCCAAAGTTATTTTAAGGATTTTTAAGGCCTATGGTATGTCTCTGCGTCACTGGATCATCACGTCTTCAGAAACTACCAGCCGTGGCATAGTTCGTTTCAGACCTTAAACATGCTTCGCAGCTGACCTTGAAACAAACCGCAAGGTTACGGTCAGTTCTGGTAGGCAAGACTTACATAGAAATAATTAATCCTCTGGCTGTTGCCACAGCCTTTTGGTTGCTTCGCATGATACTCGCATGCCTCCGTTTGCTCGCTGGCCAAGGCTTAGTGAATGGATGGCCTGCGCTGGAGTTGATTTGCAGCTGGCAGATGAGAAGATTCGGAGTCGACATCGGTTGGAACAGAACCTGGAGCTGCAGGGAGCAGGGATCTACCGACAGTGGCCATATTTCTTGGTGGTAACAGTAACATCCATCCTGCTCAGTTGAAATCCAGTCAGTCAGGATGCACACGATTTTGAGATATTTCGAGCAATGATTCTTTGGCAACCAATTTTGAATTATTGCTGTGCCCAAAATGGCAACCTGGAGTTGAAGCAGGCTCTGGAGAATAGTCACGGGATGCCCATGGAAATTTGCCACCCACTGGGACAGTCATGAGCTGCAAGCTCAAAAGACCTCTGTACCACTGTCGCTCTGTCCGTTTGCCTTGCAAGCTCTAGGATTGTGCTAGTACATAAGATGTCAAAGTGAAGATGCATTGTCAGTGTGCACTAGGAGAGAGAGAGAGAGATATGTATGTATATATTATTATACGTATGTTTATACAGTAATGTTAATTATATAATGTTATGTATATAACATAATACATTCATATATATATATATATACATAAATATATATATATATATTTATAGTATGTATACACACAAACACACGGTATTCCTTTGAATTTGAAATCAACACAGTTGAGATGACAACGTATTTTCCTCTTATCCAAGGACTGCACCGGTAGCAAGATTGACAGGCGCTTTTGGGTCACGGTTTAAGTCCTTCGTGCGACATTGAAGAGTGGTAATCCCTGACTATGCAAACATCGTATTGAAGGGGAGTCGCAACGTCCTATGATAAGGAACACGGCCCTTAAACGGCCACTGCTTTTCTTTTGATAAGTGGATGCTGTATTGACTTTAGATGCTTAATGATGTTTGATTGAACATACTTTTTGATGCTGTGAACATCTTGCTTCTTTGTTCGCAACAGGCAAAAGGTTTTGGGTTTCAATTTCTACTGTAGAAGGTGAGGGGGCGGTCTCACAACTTCCATCCTCGCCTCGAAGCTACGCGCATGGTTCCAGAAACCTTTGAACCTTGTCTCCTACCTGTCTGCCACTTCTTAGTCTCCCACTTTGTCCCCTACTTTGTCTCAAACTTTGTCCCCCCACCGTGTCTCTCAAACTTTGTCCCCCCACTTTGTCTCCCACTTTGTCCCCCACTTTGTCTCAAACTTTGTCCCCCCGCTTTGTCTCCCACTTTGTCTCAAACTTTGTCCCCCCCACTTTGTCCCCCACTGTGTCACCCACGTGTCTCCCACTTTGTCCCCACTTTGTCTCAAACTTTGTCCCCCCCACGTTGTCTCCCACTGTGTCTCCCACTTTGTCTCAAAGTTTGTCCCCCCACTTGTCTCAAACTTTGTCCCCCCACTTTGTCTCCCACTTTGTCGCCTACTTTGTCTCAAACTTTGCCCCCCCCCCACTTTGTCTCCCACTTTGTCTCAAACTTTGTCCCCCCACTTTGTCTCCCACTTTGTCCCCCACTTTGTCTCAAACTTTGTCCCCCCGCTTTGTCTCCCACTTTGTCTCAAAGTTTGTCCCCCCACTTGGTCTCCCACTTTGTCTCAAAGTTTGTCCCCCCACTTGGTCTCCCACTGTGTCTTCCACGTGTCTCCCACGTGTCTCCGACTTTGTCCTCCCCTTCGTCTCAAACTTTGTCTCCACTGAGAGTCAACATGTGGCCCAAACATGGACGCTACTCAAGACCCTTTACACCTTGTGTTGGGAATCCTCACTGCCGTTGGGTTGCAATGTTGGGTTAATGATGACAACGTGTCGAGGCAAACATCGTTTCAGATATTTCCCAAGTACGATTAGTCTGTTTCATTCCACCCAGATTGAACGTGGACTCAAAAAATGCGAGGTCCGTGGGAGACAAAATTCTTTACCTGATGCAACATGCCATTGGGTAAGACATGTGAATGGAGCATGTCCGTGCGTCAGGCAAAACATGTGGGTGTAACGTGGAGCGTGTTTGTTCATTCCTCCTTTTGTTCTCGATGGCCGATCTGTAGGAAGATCTTCGTGGGAGTTTGAACATTTCTCCCAAAATTTAACCAGAAGCAACGTAAGCATGCCAAAGCCATTGAAGCAACAACTGTTTCATTTTGGTGATTGATGCTAGAAACGTGTTTACCACGGTTTTTGAGTGGGTACTGTATGACTTTGGACATCATCTTTTTAAAGACAGCTACCATCGGTCGCACCGGCCATGCTGCCATGCTTGAAAGACCAGGGATGGGTGGTGCCACTTCCCTCCTGCATTCTTTTTGCGGACCACTTGTTTGATGGACAGCTTCATACGAACTTTCTTGGTCAATCCCCACATGTGTGGCGTAGCATCAACCGTGTGTGTAACTTCAAGCGAACGTTATTAGCCCACCCGCTCACTCCACCCCACCCGGTGTGCAGCTTCAAGTGAATGTTCAGTAACAGGCAACAAAAACGCAGAAGGACATGCGCGAAAGGATAATGCTCAAAAAAGTCTCCGCGGTTCACGGCAGTGGATCAGCCCGCAGCCATCCAATTGGAAGGGAGTGAGTTATTAATCTCCAAACTAGCATGTTTATATATAATATATATATATAATATTATAAAACTTGTTAACGACACGTGAAGTTCTGGTGATTTGCATTTCAGGGGAGCAGTTGTTGTGATTGTTCAGTTGGCTTCTTGACAACGGGCAGGTCTGGAGCTTCATGTGCAACTCGAACCCCAGCAGCATGATACATGCATCTCCCTTGCTGCCATGAAATTCTGGGGACTGCAAGCTCAGGATGCCATTTGCAAGATAGGACTCTATAATGCCATCGTTGTTTGAGTTTTTGACCACTGATCACTGATTCACAGACTGCCACTGATCACGGATTCACAGACTTGGCCGCCCAAAATGATCCGAATCTTAAGGTGGCCACATGGTCAGCCTTTGCTGACGCAATTTTATTCGAGTCGCTTCGCGACGAGAACCGCCCGCACCCAGAGAATTGGATAGAGAGGAAAGGAGCGGGAGTACGTGGCCCAACCAAAGCCGACTGGGGTCAAACTTGGCCGTCTTTCCTAACTTGCGCCGAACTTGGGTCAGTTGGCTCCAACTTGGGCCCAACTTGAGCCCAACTGAGTCCGCAAAATTGGCCCGGGTTGGGCCCAACACAACACATGGGGAACATTGCTCAACACGAAGCGTCATCGATGCCCAAAAAAAGTGGGAAATACCTGTCAAAACGCGCGTTTTTAGGATTTCGGATTGGGCCGGCCATATCCCCCATTTTGAAGCCGTGTGGACCTCAACTTGGGCCGAAATTGCTGCCAAATGGGTCCAACTTGCCCCATTTTGGAGCCAAGTTGGGCCGAAGTTGGAGCCTTGTTGGCCGAAGTTGGCCCCACGTGGAGCTGATGTTGCGGCCATGTCGAATCAAAACAATGCATTTGGACAATGTTGGGCCGACATGGAACATGTGCAAATTACCGCAGTCCCGTGCACTTTTTGGCGCCGTCGCCTGGGCAAACATGCTTTCCCCCCGAGCTGAACGTATCACTCGCTGTTAAACTACCATGCCTCGGCACCTTCGGTGCCGGCGGATTTTTGTGCCCCGAGCAATACTACAATGTTCATCCAGAGGTGGACTTTGTGGGTGTGGTTTGCTATGCCCGCATCTCTGCCATACAACTTTGGAATTCGGAGAACTCAGTGAGTCCCCCGGAGCAATATGGGGCTTATGGCCCAACTTTGCCCTGGTGCATCACAACACCTATAGATCTTGGTCATTGTAAAATCTTGGTATATAATCTTTTGTTTGTTTGTGGCGACCCTTCGAATGCCCAATGCCATTGCTCAGTTCCTATGTGCAGGGCTCCTTTGCTTGGGCTTGAAGAGAAATTAGCGTCTTCCTGGCAATCTGAAGAGTTTGTCTACCTCCTGGCATTGAATTTCAAATCTTCTTTGCAAAACTTTAGCCAACTAAAAGCCCAGATTCGTAAATGACCCTTCGCGCATCATTGCTGGTTGCTCAGTTTGTATTCTCATATAGTTTCGAATTCGCAGCTCCGTGCCTGAGGTTACACTCAGCTCTCCGGCGACATGGGTCGGTTTGGTACTAAAGTGACCATGCAGCTGGTGCAACATATCTGCAACAGGATGCTTCATGAATGGTGATCATCAGGGTGATGCACTTTTCGAGTCTCCCTGTTCTCGAATTTCTTTGTCCAGTCCGGTCTTCGTATCTTCCAACAAACACGATGAGTTTTGAGTCTGTTGAGAGCCGAGCGTCCAACGCCGTGCTAGTCATGAAACCATTATCTTCTGAGGTCCTCTTACAGATCAAGGCTACAGCGGGGCACAGAGTTCCGCTTTGTTGGTCATGGACGTAGCTTGTTGCAATCGACGGACGACCGGCTGGGATGCAGGATGGCACCTTTGGACTATTGCATGTCATCAATGAGCAAACCCACAATTCAACATGTTGCATGAGAATCGATTGGGCTTGGCATTTGCCTGGATGAACTTCTTCGGGAACAACCCGAACTGTCTGGCACTGCACATATTAATATAATATAATATTGTATACTATAATATAATATAATATAACATGATATAATATATATATAATATAATATAATATGATAAAAATAAAAAATGTAATTTAATATAAATAAAATACAATAATTTAATATAATAGAATATCATGAAATATAACATAACAACATATAATAATTTAATATTATTTAATATAGCATAATATTTTTTAATATGATTTAATTGAATAGAATACAACATATTTTTTTTATTTAATATAATATATTACAATATAAAATAATATAACATAATATGATTTAATACAATATGATATAATATAACATAATGTAATATAATATGATTTAATATAATATAATATAACATAATATAATTTAATATAACATAATATAGTATACTATTTTTAATTTAATATAATGTAATATAATATAATATACTATAATATACTATAATGTAATCTTATTTTTTACTATTAAATAATATAATATTTTTTATAATATGATTACATATATATATATATATATGAATCGGGCAATTAAATATAGCTGGCATTCACCTCGGTGTGAAAGTGATGTTTCCTGATTGCAGCCTTGATAGAACTTTCTGTGTCCCGCTCTCTGAGGTATCGAATTCTTAGATTTTATTCTCCTCACCACTGCAATCTCGCCTCTCAGCGATCAGTCGCAGTTGGCGGGGTTCGTAATGGAATTCATGATACCATCTACAAACTGCACATCCTATAGCATGGCAGTGAGCCAAACGATGCAGAACTTAGATTGACACTTCAAGACCTAGCAAGAGGTTTTGAGGTTGTTTCTTGCATGGGATTAGAACAAGTTCGCAGGCATCCTCGTGACAGATCAACACAAAGAACTGGACAAATATATTTGCGTGCTTTTTCATCTCTCTTGACTTTGGTTCACTATAAGAATTGCGAGGTCTAGGCAGCAGAAGAAGCATTTTGTTATATACAACATTCAAGACAACAACCTGTCAGCCTCCGCAGTCCGTTCCGTACCTGATGTAGCGCTCAGGAACATGTTCACTATAATGTCGATCCCAGTCCAGAGCTCAGGATGGGTAAGCACAAGTCAAAGTGATACGTAGCTTGCCGCGGCTGTCTCTTATTTCACTTGAATGCTTGCTACAGCCGTGGCTGAGATTAAGCTGAGGCCTTCTTGGTTGGACTTCTGGCATTGTATTGTTTGGGACCATTGTCCAGCATCTATTTTGCCACTTGCCAACAGATTTACAATATCAGGCAATTTCATGCAATTGCAAGAGTGACTCTGGGTTGGGCACATCAAATTCTTGGGACTAGTTGAAAACCACCGACCAGAGCCCAAAGACATGATGAGTCATAAGGAGGTTGATTTTGCCAAAGCGTGACCCTCCAGCACAATACATGGGGCCCCAACCACGATTTAATTCTTGTTACTATGACTTGACTTTCATGTACCTCGAATTCATTTTGTACCCATACTACGTTTTTTTTTCAAATTGCCTTGGCAACGATTTATTGTGTTCTATATGTTTTGTCTAGTATATCACATAAAAAATGCCTTCAGCATTTGTTTATTGTATTGCATTCATGTTCCTGAGCATCTCTCCTTGCTAGGTTTGTGATTCTTTATAGGTCTGTGATTCTGGGTTTGTGATTCTTTCTAGTGCTACATTTGTGATTCTTTCTAGTACTAGGTCTGTGAAATGACCAGATTGACTAGATGAAACTATGATCAAACTGATCAAACTGCTAAGGACGAAAGTACCTTAAAATTCCTTAAAGTTCTTGAAAATTCCTTCAAATTCCAAAATTTCGTCCTTAGCCCAAAACTTTTTCGTCCTTAGCCCGAAACTTTCGTCCTTAGCCCAAAACTTTCGTCCTTAGCCCAAAATTTTCCGTCCATAGCACAAAACTTTCATCCTTAGCCCAAGACTTTCATCCTTAGCACAAAACTTCCGTCCTTAAAATTCCTTAAAATTCCAAAATTTCGTCCTTAGCCTAAAACTTTCGTCCTTAGCCCAAAACTTTTGTCCTTAGCCCAAAACTTTCGTCCTTAGCACAAAACTTTCGTCCTTAGCCCAAAATTTTCGTCCTTAAAATCCCTTGAAATTCTTTGAGATTCTTTAAAATTCCAAAATTTTGTCCTTAGCCTAAAACTTTCGTCCTTAGCCTAAAACTTTCGTCCTTAACACAAAACTTGTGTCCTTAGCCCAAAACTTTCGTCCTTAGCACAAAACTTTCGACATTAAAATTCCTTAAAAATCCTCGAAATCCCTTGGAATTCCTTTAACTCTCTTATATCAATTTCCTGAGAATTCCTTAAAATTCCTGAAAGCTCATTGAAATTCCTTAAAAGTGTTTTAAATTCCTTCAAATTCCTTCAAAATCCTTCATTCCATTGCTTCCTGAAAATTCCTTAAAATCCCTTTGATTAGAAAACTTTTCGAAAAAACTACCAAAGAATTTACACATGGAATGCCACATCATCGACTTATAATATAATCCCTTTTCCGAACTAGAAGCACGAATATGCACATAATTGTCACATAATTTAACTTCTCACGAACCAAATGAAACCCAAAACAACTTTACGAGAGAGATTTGGGTATTTCCGTGCTGCCTAAACAAACCAAATCGTGGTTCAAAACTCGCCTTTTTTTTTCGTGGTTGAACCGTTTCCAAGCGTGGTTTGGATCAATAAGTTTAAATCGTGGAGTCGCACCCGTCTCTCCAGCACAAACATGACTGTTTGAGTGACTTGGCACGGGCTTCTGCCACATGGTGAACCCCCAGTAGGCAACAGGAGCAGGCCGACATAGACCGACACCTTCGCGGCAGATGCCAGGCTGCAGCAAATACCAGTGTCAACGTGGCGGATGACTGCAAAGCGGCTGTGACGCGTCTCATCACCAGCGAGGCGGGTCAACCCGACATGTGTGGATCCTTCGCTTTCTCTGGCGACATTTTTGGAATGTCTTATCAAGCCTTTGCCATTGCGGCTACTTGTCATGGCAATCAAATTTGATTTCCGTCCTTCCGAGAAAGACTGACCTCTCTCGCACATTTTCTGTGTTTGTTTGTTTTGTGTGATACGGCATGCTCTCCATTTCCTTCCATGTGCATTTGTTTGTCCCTGTTGTTGAAGGGCATGCGTGATGCGTTGGAGACATCTTGCGACCGCAGTGGCTTTCTAGGAATAGGTCCATGACATCTCAGACTTCCGGTGGATGAAATCTGGACTTTGACAGTAATTGGTGCTGATCTATAGTTTTCGATATCGATTTACAGTATAACATTTAATTTTATATTATATATCATGCCATATTATGCCATATCTATATCTACATCTATTCTATCTCTCTATCTCTCTCTCTCTCTCGCGCGCCCTCTATCTCTCTATCTCTCTCCCTCTCTCTCGCGCCCTCTATCTCTCTCTATCTCTCTCTTTATATATATATATATGTATCCATATATCTCTCTCTCTATATATATATATCCATATCTCTATCTCTCAGTCTATGTATCTATCTGTTTGCCTGTCTATTCATCTATTTAACTTAACTATTTTTTAAAATATTTTTATTTAGGTATCTTTTTATTTACTGTATCTTGTTTATCTGTTTATCTACGTATTTATCTATTTATCTTTTCTACATTATATTTGCCGATTTTTAAACATCTCTATTGGTCTTGGTTTATCAGTATTTCTCATTGTTTATCTTTATTTACCTGTATTTATTTTCATTTTTTTGCTTTTCTTGACTATCCCTATTTATCTTTGTTCGTCTTCATTTACCTAGTTTTATTTTTGAGTTTTTTTTTTTAAAAAAAAATCTTTATTTATTCTGATTTATTTATATTTTTCTTTATTTATCTTGATTTACATTTGTTTATCTTCATTTAACTATATTTGTCTTTACTAATCAGTTACTAATCTTTATTTATCTTCATTTATTTTTATTTATCTTTACTGCTCTTTATTTCTCTTTACTTCTTCTCTTTTTAACTCTATTTGTCTATCTGTCTATCTATCTATCTATCTATTTATTTGTCTATCTATCTGTTTATCTATCTATCTATCTATCTAATTAATCTATCTATCTATCTATCTATCGATCGTTCTTTGGTTTTTTGTTATATTTTGTATCTGTATCAGCTATCTCATCTATCTCATCTATCTTGTCTATCATGTCTATCTTCTCTACTTGATCTACTTGATCTACTTTCCCTACTTTATCTACTTTATGTTGTTTTTTTGGTCTTTTCTACCTTATCTATATATCTAATTCCCCAAACTGTGTGGCCAGGCAGGGGTTCTTACGGTAAGAGTTAAGGCCCGGTGTTCAATGGAGGTGGTATCGGAAGCGTCCGGCATTTTCCCTGTAAATTTCTGCACAAAATGCCTCTTGTGACATGTGTTTTTGCATTTCGACTGCGCAGGCTCGCGCAAAATGCTGGCTCCGGGATATGCGTGCGGCATTTTCCCTGTAAATTTCTGCACAAAATGCCTCTTGTGACATGTCCATGTGAATTTCGACTGCGCAGGCTCGCACAAAATGCTTGCCGCGGGATATGCATACGGCATTTCCCTGTAAATTTCTGCGCAAAATGCCTCTGGTGACATGTCCATGTGCATTTCGACTGCGCAGGCTCGCACAAGGTGTGCTTCCCGGTCTTGGGATCGGTCTTCCTCCTCAACATTATCATCTTCCTCCTCAACATTAACATCGTCATCATCGTCATCATCGTCATCATCATCATCATCGTCATCATCGTCATCATCGTCATCATCGTCATCATCATCATCATCATCATCCAAATCATCATCACCATCACCATCATCATCATCATCATCATCACCATCATCATCATCACCACCGTCACCACCATCACCATCACCATCATCATCACCACTATCCTCTTCATCCTCTTCATAATAATAATCATCATCATTATCATCATCATCATCAGCATCAGTTTCATCACCAACGTCACCATCATCACCCTCACCATCATCATCATCATCATCATCATCATCATCATCATCACCATCACCATCATCATCATCATCATCATCATCACCATCACCATCATCATCATCATCATCACTATCATCATCATCATCATCATCACCATCACCATCACCATCGCCATCATCACCGTCACCATCATCATCAACATCATCATCAACAGTAACATCATCATCATCATCATCATCATCATCATCATCAGCATCATCATCATCATCATCATCATCAACATGAGAATACATTCTCCTTTTACTCCCCCCACACTGTTTGGGGTCTCTTGCCGGGATAATCTATCTTATCTATCTTATCTGTCTTATCTAATTATCTAGAAAAACTGGTCGCGGGGGTTCGGTGTCAGTGACCCTGTGGGCCACTCTGGAAAAACTGGTCGCGGGGGTTCAGTGTCAGTGACCCTGTGGGCCATGTGGAGGCTGCGATGAACAGCATCGATGCGAACAGTATCGATGCAAAAGGAATCACTAAAGATCACGTGTCCCGACCTCAGACACTGGAATTGCCGCAGTGGTGCTTATACTTCATCTGCTTGTTGAAGAGTGTATAATTCTGTTTATATTATATATATATATGCCAATATATAGGTATGTATATTATGTGTATAATGCTAGAGGTACAGTCAGGATAAAAGGGGAGGATTCTCAACCATTCCGAAAGACGTGTGGGCATTTCCATATCCATATGTTCCACTCGCATATTTCATGTGAAATTTGTTGTTTTTTAGACAACAAGTCTGACTTGCGAATTTCATGAATGTGACACACTGTGATTGCAACGTTGTGAGTTTTGTCGCATGCTGGTGTCGGAGCAGCGCCAGGAGAGATTTTCTCGCGAGGCTTCTCAAGAATCACATTGGCCCTAAATTGCGAAAACGGTTCAGGCTGGGACCCAGGGGGCCGAGGATGTGGCGACTCGAGCCTTCAGACTCCAAGATGCACCCAAGAAAGGGGGTTGAGGGATCCATTCATATGAAATATTTCTGACTCAGAATTGCCTCAACAGCTTCTGCCCTGCAGAGGCAAAACCAGCTAGAGTGTATTTTCTGGACTTGAACTCACAAAACTGTGCTTGTAATAGCTGAAGCGGGCTTGAAGCGCACCTACAATTATGGAATGCACAGGGTCGTGATATATACATCATGCGCATGTTCTTTCGTTTTGCTGCCATCCAAACTCTGGGATTTTCAATGCGTCCTGTGGGAAAACCACACCCTCAACCTCCTGCTCCTTGAACCTTCCTTCTTCTTCCCTGACCAGCAAACCAATGACTTCCTGATTTCGCGTTGCCTGCACAGGCTGTCTGAACATAATCAAGGAGAAGGAGACCTTCAGTCGGAGGAGCTAGAAAGATTGGTGGAGTTCGTCATGGAGAGCATCCACAAAGATGATGATGACAGTCCCTTGATCAGTTTTTCAGGGAACCAAACCGGACTTAAGATGCGAGACCCAATGACATTTTCATTTTTCAGTTCTTGAATTGTATGCACAGGCGTGCCCGCGAATGACTTTCATTACTTGTTGCACTACAAAGGGTACCGTGTCATTTTCTAGGTCACATGTCAGAATTTCCGGGCTGTCTCCTGCCAATCGGAAGTGCCTATTTGGATCTATTTGGATACCGGATACAGCAAACGCTTAAACTGTGCACAGATTGTCGAAGGAAGTTTAGAAGTCAAACTTCCGACAATATGGACAGATTGAAAAGCAGAGGTGGGAAGAGTCAGAGAAGCCAAAGGAAAGAAGATGCAGGTGCGCGAAAAGGTAGAAAAGACGCAGCTCACTATGTTTTTCCAATGGTTTGTGGCTCCGGAGGGTCGAAAAGTAGGCTCGCTAAAGCGGCGGGTGCGGAGCCATCTGGCCAGATGAGAAATGAAAAATTGCACGCCGTTGTGGCGCGAAGCACATTTCCAAGTCAAAATGCTAAAAACACCACTTGAACGGACCACTTTTGAAGGTTCAGATGTGGTTTTGCGTGGCAAGGGCAAGGGATTCTGCACCTTGCCAAAAGTGAGCAAAACGTGATGGTTTTGTAGCAGTTTCAAAAACGATGGCAGGCGTGGGACGTTTTTGAAGAGAGGATCTGGAAAGGTGCATGTCGCGTGGCAGGTGCAGTACAAGAGACATGTTCATCAGAGATGTTAGGAGGTCAGGGCCAGGGCGCTGATTTCCTGAGAGGGCTATCTTCACGTTTGCCAAGATGATTTTGTGTGACAGGTGCAGCACTTCGTGTGACCTGGCATCACTTTTGCGTTGCAGGCGCAGCGCTTTACACAGAAGGAGTGGAAATCGCAAAACGCATGGTACGAGGCCGTCAGCTCTGTACTCAACTTTCCATTTTGGAAGGAAGAACCGCAGAATTGCTTAGTTTTTGATGTTGTCAACTTCGAAAATTGAAGGAAGTCTTGCAGAATTGTTGCGTTTTTGATGTTGTCACTTTCAAAAACGGAGGAAGTCTCACAGAATAGCTTCGTTTTCAAGCTTGCAGATAGATAGATAGACAACTACAACTACAACTACACTACTACGACTACAACTACAAAAACACGTGCACATATATTGAGCTACATTACACTACACTAATAACATTACACGACACAAATTACACTACACTAGTTACATTACAACTACAACATCAACTACAACAACAACTACTACTACTTCTACTACTACAACAACAACAACTACTACTACTACAACTACAACTACAGATGCAGCTACAACTTCAACTACAACTACACCACATTACACTACATTATGCTACACTACACTAATTACACTACCATACAGTACACTACAGCTACACTACATTCCACAACGCTACAACTGCAATTACAACTACAACGACACCACACTACACCACACTACACTACACTAATTACATTACACTACAGCTACAACGACGGCTACAACTACACTACTTTACACTACCCTACACTAGACTACACTACACTATACTACACTACAGCACACAGCACTACAGCACACTACGCTACACTACAGTACACTACACTACAGTACACTACACTAATTACACTACAGCAACTACTACTACAAAGACAGCTACGACTTCAACTACAGCTAAACGACATTACAATGCACTACACTAATTAGACTACTCTACGCTACACTACACCAAACTACACTACAGTACGCTACGGCACACTACGGTACACTACAGTACACGACAGTACACTACAGCTACCCTACAACTACACTACAACAACACTACAACAACACTACAACTACACTACAACTACAACTACAGCTACAGCTACAACTACAACTACAGCTACAGCTACAACTACAACTACACTACATTACACAACGCTACAACTACAACTACAATTACAACTACAACTACACCACGCTACACTACACTAATTACGCTACAACTACAATGACAGCTACAACTACAACTACACTACTTTACACTACACTACGCGACACCACACTAGACTACACTACACTATACTACACTACAGTACACAACACTACAGTACACTACGCTACACTACATGACATTACACTAATTTACACTAATTTACACTAATTTACACTAATTACACCACACCACAGCTACAATTGCAACTGCAACTACAACTACACACACACACACACTAATTGCACTACACTACAGCTACAACTCCACTACGCTACAACTACAACTGCGTTACCCCACGCGACATCCAGCAGTTGTGGGTGAGGTGACCACTGCAACCATTGCAGCCACTCCAAAAAAACACAGCTTGGATTCGTTCTGCCATTCCTGATTCGCAGCAACCAACCTCTCCTATAGGTTTCCTATCTTTGAAACTTCCGCCACCGCCTTGTGCGGCACCATTGGTAAATGAGAACGTGTAACAAGCGCTGGAACGGAGAGATTTAGAATAGAAAGCGTCAGAGAATGATGGGAACGGTAGAAGAAATAAGTGGGAAAGAGCAGAAGGGAAGAGGGGCAGAAAGGCAAGAAAGAAAGAAAGATGCAAAAAAGGACATTGCTCTATGGGATAAATGATCATTGGAATTTGTGATGACAAGACTGCGCTGATCGACGCTGATCCAAGCAAATTGTGTAGTTGCGCATCTTCAGGCACGGTGGACGCAGAGGACTGGCAGAGACGAACAGGGTCTCAGAATTTTCCGTTGAATGGTTTTAACGCTACGCAGATGTGCAACGCGCAATTGAAACATTGAGAGTCTGTTTTTTTGTTACACCGAGTAGATTAAGAGCATGCAATTGGCAAGTTTGCAGACCGATGTGATGTGAACAACTTGACATTTGATCACATTTGCGTTTTTCCTTGGCAAATAGATCTGCTTGCACCTTGACTATCTTGAGCGCGCGACAGAAATATTTGAAACTTCACCACCGAAATGACCCGGTGCAGCTGGCAGATATCGCGCCTCGGCGATGAAATTTGCAATGCTGCTGCGCGGTAGTTGTTTTCCCCAGACAACAAAAGAAGGTGGTTTGTGTCATGTTTGTGTCACAACAGACACTGCCGTACAGATCCTTACTGAACCTACTGACTCTTACTGAATCTGGCAGAACTTTTCTGAGATCCGGACAGGTGCATCTCTTCGATTTGGGACGAGCTCAGGGCCCGCTGGAATCTTTTTTCCAAGATCGCTTCTTCTCTGCACTTTTGGGATCAAATCGTCCCTCGGAACACGACTTTTAAATTGCTTTAACGCTTACAGGCCCCAAAACCAATTGGCCAGTTGGCAATTTAAATCAATTTAGCCCTTTTGGCGCATTCTACCAGCAACTTGGCAAGGCATACAATCAAAGTGGAACAAGGAGTATTTGGGTTTGCTCTAGAAAACTTTTTCTATCCGAGACGATTCCTGGTAGGTATAAACCGTGATGCTGTAAGCAGTTTCTGGTGTAAACACATCTAGCTGCAAAACGGCTTTTGGTGTTAATACACTACTATATAGTTCCTCGTAGCTTAAACTTGCTATTTGAACCCACTGGGTTGAAAGCTGCTGGGCGAAAAGGCATTGGCTGGACAGAGTCCGTGTTGTGAACACTTTCCGGTACCAATGGTTGAGGCAAGAAAGGAATGGAACACACCATCAGCCGAAAGGTTTCTTGTGTCGCACTTCTCAACGCAAAAGCTTAGCTGGCCTGAAAAAAGTGCATTATGAAAGCGTCTTAGATGTGACGGTTCAGTGAAATTTACAGTGGAGCAACGGGGGGCTGTCCAAGCGCAGCCCATTGCAGGGGTAACAGTTGTTTAAAAACAGCAGTAGCCGTAGGCCCTGACCATTGAAAACTATTTCTAGCGGTTGACAAAACCACCCATTTACAACAAATAGCCTTCAAAGGCTAGACTTAGCTTAAAGAGGAAGGAAAAGGGAAACAACAAGACATGCAACGAACAAGAACATGCACTAGTCAGACACACCGGCAGCAAGCCCCTGCCAGTAAACAAACGGAATGATGTACAAGCGACGAAAATCACAATGGGGATTGGGGACATTCCCAACAGCAGCGTCTGCTGGGCTTCAATCTCTCGGTCTGCAGCTGGTGCGTCGTTTGCCTGCTCAGCTCAAAACCGGAATGGAACTGGGACGGAACCCTGGAACCTTGGAAGATTGAAACAAGGCTTTTTGATAGTGTCTTATCAATACGGGGGACCTTAATGATCGGCTCTTCGGTGGGTATGGTCACCAAAAGGAATATTCTGCCAAGGAGAGACATTTCGTCGGCATAACTTCGCCAAAGAGAAGGCTGCGCAGAATGCGTATGGAAGCGACCTGGTGGAAGACCTGGATATGGCTCAAGGTTGGTAGATTGTTTGCTCAATTCTGATCAAGACAGTGGCTACCCCAAAAATTGTCAGTGGGTACCCCCAAATTCTGATCAAGACAGTGAAGTTTAAGACAGCAAAGCTAATCCCATGGTTTAGGACATCATGAATCTTCATCACCACCAAAGATTGCCATTTGACACTGCAAAGGCAAAGTTTCTTCCAACGATAAAGGACTGCCGGAACAACTCTTTGCACTTCCACATTTATGCCTGGCGTCACTCTTTAAAAGGGCTGATTGGACAGCTCTTTGGCTGGTGCTTTCTTTGTCCAATTTAGCGCTTTTCTATTTGCTAGATTTCGACGTTGTGTTGTGTTCATTTAAAGGAAACCTCTGTTTGGACTGCGGCTAGTACCTAAGATCCACATGTTCCACAAACAGACTGATATTGGTGCCAGTCATTGGCTTTGGGTGCGATTTTAAATTTGTTTCAGGGCTAGTCATCCATTTGGCTGTGCCCTAAAATGCTGAAGAGCTCCATCGGTTTCTCATCTGGGAAAGTTGACCATTATTTGATGAATGGCCTGGGGCCGCGAAGCACCTGTATTTCACATTTTTTGGGACACCGCCGACATCTAACGCGCCATGTTCCGTAGTGACATACAGCAGCACCCCATGGCTCTCATCCGGGTTGCAGGAAGCCCAGCTCAGCAGACCTTGGATGAAGGCGCTTGGTGCGGGCTAGGCGATGCCAAACGAGATTGTTGTTTTGGGGACAGAATTTGCTGAGAGCCCAGAGATTGTGGTCCGAAGTGAATGTGGTATGAAGTCATAATTTTCCACTGTTGACCAGTACCCATAGTCTGTAAAGCACAATTTGTCCAACATTTTGTCTGACATGTTGTCCAAACTTGCCAACCTTTTGGCCCGAAACATCCTGGTCATCTGTGAAGCTTCAATCTTCAGAAGATCATGATGAACCTTGTTTGCCTGCCAGGTATTCCAACATCTGTTGTGGTGAACACATCCTTTCAGGCGAGGTCCGCAAAGGGCAACTTCATTCTTGGCCGGAACACTGCGTGAAGGGGAAGATGGTGTCGCGTTCTTTCGGGATACTGGGATATCTCTTTACAAAGCCTGGTTTCTGAAAGTGAAAATCCATGGGCCAGGTGGCTGAGCCCCAACTTGTCCGTCCGGCACGGGTATGGAAAAAAGGCCATTGTGCCTTGGCAAAGATTTGTTGCGCTGACCATCAGAAACTGATTGTGGGCATTCAATATTCAAACTACTGATAGGCCATTTGTCCAATAAAAAGATAGGGGGTCATCATGGGACACTGAAAAACAACAAACTACACCGGAGGGATGTGGAGAAGATTGCGATTGAAACATCTGTTCTGATACTTTGCCAATGAATTTTAAGGTGCTGCGCTGCTGGCTAAGCGACAACTGGAATGAAATTCTGCCAGATATCCCTCAATACCGAATGAACAGATAATACCCAGGTAATGCGACCAATGCTTGTCGCTTACCGAATCGTTAACGAAATGACGTGCCCAAGGCATATTAAATCTATAAGTAAAATAAATTTATATAATTAATTGACCCCCTTTATTATAACCAAATATAGAATTTATAATATTAAATATAAATAATAATTATAAACAATATTTATTGTAATATTTAAATTAAATCCCTCTAGATAAGCCCCAAAAAATTCGAAAAAATATTTTTATGTATAGATTTGAAGAAGGAAAAATGGGTTAGATTTGGTTTTAAAATCGATAAATTAAATTTAAAATTATGTATTTCCCCACCTGCCAGGTGAGGGTTGTTAGATTTTATGTCAGTTGCCTGCTCCTCCTCTCCTCTCCTCTCCTCCTCATCTCCTCTCCTCCTCCTCCTCGTCGTCCTCCTCGTCCTCCTCCTGCTTAACCGCGACCCTCGACGCACAGTGTTCTCTGTCGGACCTCAACCACGACCATCCACGCCCAGTGTTCCATGCCGGACCTCAACCACGACCATCCCCGCCCAGTGTTCCCTGCCGGACCTTAACCACGACCATCCACGCCCAGTGTTCCCTGCCGGACCTTAACCGCGAGTATCCCCGCCCAGTGTTCCCTGCCGGTCCTCAACCACGACCATCCACACCCAGTGTTCCCTGCCGGATCTCAACCGCGAGTATCCACGCCAAAAGATATGCCACATAGAGTGCCAGAAAATATGCCAGATAAAATGTTAGAAGATATGCCAGATAGAATGCCAGAAGGTATGCCAGATAGAATGCCAGATAGAATGTCAGCTAGAATGCCAGAAGATATGCCAGATAAAGTACTAGAATGTTTGCCAGATAGAATACCAGTAGATTTGCCAGATAATATACCAGAAGATATGCTAGATAGAATGCTAGATGGAATGCCAGAAGATTTGCCAGATAATATGCCAGAAAATATGCCAAATAGAATGCCAGATGGAATGCCAGAAAATATGCCAGAACATATACCAGAAGATATGCCAGAAGATATGCCAGAACATCTGCCAGAAGATATGCCAGAACATCTGCCAGAAGATATGCTAGGTAGAATGCCAGAAGATATGCCAGATAGAATGCCAGATCGAATCCCAGAAAACATATCAGATAGAATGCCAGAAGATTTGCTAATAACAAAATGTATAAATGTCATGGTGGGGATCACACGAAGTAAAGTAATTAGAAAATTTTTGTTATTTATGGTGTTGATAATTATAATTTAAAATCTTTGTGCCGTATTTTTATTATATATTTTTTTGTTATTATATATAATATTATATAATTATTAATTATATAATTTAAATATATCTTATTTTTATTAGATTTTTATTTTTTATTCGAATTAAAAACTAATTTTTATTTAAATTATAAAAAATTATAATTAAAACATTTTTTATTGATAAAATATAGATTTGATATGTAATTTTTTAATTTTTGGATAATTTTCATTATATATAATATTTTATAATAATTGTCGAAACGGGCACATTCAGCACTGCCATCCGCTCATAGCCATTAGGCTCCGCCAGGTGTGTAGGAAAAAAAGGCGCTGATGCTTTTCGAGTGGTAGACGGAGCTTCTGGTGGATCTGGAGGCCGTGGTTGTCGAGGGGATCCTGTTTGTGAAGGTGGTAGGTGGCTTGGGCCTGTGGTGGCCACCTGGCGGTGCCTATGCCCACCTTTCAGGCAATGTACACTGGCATGCAAGCTGACCATGCAGCTGCGGATGAGACGAGCGGGAGTTTGTCAACCCCGCCTCGGCGGACGGGGGCGTCACAGCCTCCAAGTAGTGGTGATCGGCCGAGCATGGGCTCGGGGCGAGGCAAAGGTCGTGGTGGTGAAGGTCCTGAGAGGTATGTGATGGCTTCTGAAGGAAGCTCAGGTGCTGAACGTAGTGAAGGAGTGGCTGAGAGCAGTTGGGAATGGGAGACCGACTCTTCGTGGTGGAGCCCTTCTGGGAGGTATGAAAACTGGACTTGGGTGGGTCGCCATAGCCACTCAGACCGGTCAAGTTATGGCGGTGCTTACGATGCCAACTGGGATTGGGAGCGACCTTCCGACCCTTGGTGGGATTGGTACAACGATCGACGTCATCGAGATCGTTCGGGAGTATCTCATGGCAGCGATCAGGGAGATCGTGAACAACCCGATCATAGAGGTTGGCGTGGTGATCTTTGGAATGATTTGGAGGTGACCTCGCCGAAGTCAATGCCAGCTGCGCGTGATGTCAGCGGGGCCTTGCCGTCTGGTGAGATGAGTTCTGTGGGTCAGCAGAAGGAGAACAAGGTGGCAGGTGATCACCGCAACTCAAAAATTTCTTCTTCGTACCCGCCCATTTTTCGAGCGAAGCCTGGGGAGTCTTTCAAGGAATGGAAGCGATCAGTGGGCTTCTGGTTGGGCGGTGAAGCTGGTTCTCTTCCTGCAGAGCTCATTGGTCCGAGGCTGATGGTGCAATTGAGGGACAGAGCGGGTCAGTTGGTGCACCATCTGAGCAATGAAGATGTCAACAAGGCCAATGGCATGCAATTGGTGATGGAGACCCTGGAGAAGAGCCCATTGATCCGGCAACTCGACAAGCACAAGGTCGACATGCATCGCAAGCGCCTGATGTCCTTGCGAAGGCTGCCACAAGAAAGTTTGGAGTCCTACGTAACCCGAGGTCAGCTCTATCGCACTCAGTTGGTTGCCCTGGATGATGCGATGCAGATGGGTGAATGTTTTTTCACTGGGCATTTGTTGGATGGAGCGCGGCTCTCGCGCAAGGACAAGGTGATGATTAAAACGAGAGCTGGCAGCGATCGTGAGGTGGACGTGACCAACGCCATGGTAGAGCTGGCCCCGGAGTTGGAAGGAGAGCATGGCTTTCCAATCGGCAATTCTGAGCCGAATGCCGCTGCACGCCAAGGCGAGGAGTTTCTCATTCAGCGCCCTGAGAGCTCTCGCTTTGGCAAGAAGGATGTCAACGCTGTCGAGCTCGACCCCTTTGCTGAGGAGAATGTCGAGTTGGATGATGACGCTTCGATGATGCTGGAAGAGTTTGACCCTCCAGAACTGGTGCAAGCGGCCAATGAGGCCTTTGCGTTGCAGCACAAGGCCAAGCAGCGCATCATGGAGGTGCGAAAGTTGAGACAATACTATCGTCGGCCAGATCGTCCTGAGCAAGAAGAACGCCGACGAGCTTTGCAGGAGAAAATGCGCACCTCGCCATGTCACCGCTGTGGTGAAATTGGCCATTGGAGCCGAGAATGTCCCCAGCGAAACAATGCTGTGGCAGCCACCGCTGTGAAAGGAAGCCCTTCGGCAAAGACTGCTGAGGATGAGTGGTCGGCTTTGGTGTCACTTTGTCATCAACAGCCAAGTGTGGCATCGTCCGCTTCGGTGGCATACAAGGAGCGTTTTGTCGGGGTGATCAATCACGTTGGGGGCATAGCTCATGAAACGATGTGGTGTCAGCAGGAACTTCGTTTACATGTTATTTTAGATTTGGGATGTGTGAAATCGGTGGTTGGTTTGAGCTGGATGAATCAGTTGGTGAAAGAGTGGAAAAGTAAGAATAGATGGTTTGTGGTGCTCCCCGAGCAAGAGAAGTTCCAATTTGGGAATGGCGAAACGCTGACTAGCCGATTCAGAGTCCAATTTGAATGCATGGTTGGAGGTTGTCACATCGTTTTGGCAATGTCAGTGGTTCCTGGAAAGTGTCCTCCTCTCCTATCTCGTCATGCATGTTCTCAATTGGGTTTGAAGATCGATTGTGCTGCACATACATTTAGCTCTACTCGCATGGGCATCAAAACATATGGATTGGCACAAGCATCAAATGGTCACTATTTGCTGCCCGTCTTCGACTTTGATGACTCACATCTTTCAGATCTTCCTTCGGATTTTTCATTGATGCAAGGTCAAGAGGCTCAGGTGATCAAGAAGGTCATGCCCATGCCTGAAGTCGTTGATTCTCCGGCAGCTGTCATGTTCGAGCTTTCGAATGACCGTTCAATTCGTTCTTCAAACCCGGCGCCCACTTCGGCCCTTGCAGATGGCGACGGTGCCTGCGGCAGCCAAGGCGAAGTCCTCCGCAGACAAGCCAGTGGACGAACCGAAGGTCGTGATTTGTCGCCTTTGCGGAGATCCAGGTCACCGAGCCAAAGAATGTCCCATGTTGGAGCAATTGGTGAGCGAGACGGAAGAGGAGGAGATGAAGGTCGATCAGGGCTATTTGGAGCGAACTCGGAAGAAGATTCATTCTCGCCGCTCCTCTCGAGCTGCACCCCAACCCAAGAGCCCGAGGACGAGCACCGAGCAGCATTCGACTTCGGAATGGGAGCTCATGCAGGGGCTTACCAAGGACGAGATCGCCCTGATCACCAAGCGCAGGGAGAAGGCGGCCGTCACCCGATCCAAGCAGCAGGCCAATCGAGCCCTCACGGGCGAGCAGGCGAACTTTCCGAGCCTCTCTCACATGTGGTCTCAGGAGGTAGCCTTGAACATGGTGTTTGCGATGGGTTCTCGCATGAGGACTTTCCTATGGAAGAAGCTCCTTTGGCAGCTGAGGGTGAAGTCCGCCGTGGATCGCATTCAGGGCGCCCGCTGGAAGCGCAACCCACGATGGTTAGCAATGTTGCTGTCCAAGGAAGTGGGTGCGATCTGGGGTCATTACGGAGCACTTCGTCAGAAGTTGAACAACCCGGACATTCTGTACCTGATGTGACAAGGGAGAAGCAGTTCTTGCTTCAGCGTGGAATGGTGCAAAGTCTGAAAAAGGGCGTGGGAAAAGGGTTGAATAGAGGCCGCAGAATCACCAGTACGGCCGCAATGGAAGGCCGTTTTGTGGTGGTCGAGATCTATGCAGGCGTGGCCAATCTCACCAAGGTTGCAATGAAGGAGCTGGGCACCACATGGTCCGCTTTGGATCCCATTGACATCATCTATGGCCATGACTTGAAGAAGAAGGCCACAAGAGATGAAGTTTGGGAGCTGCTCTGCAAGACTGAGCCGGACCTGGTGACGCTTTCTATGCCCTGCGGCCCATGGTGTCAATGGATGAACATGTGCGATCCGGACGAAGTGGCCGACCGTCGCACTCTGGATATGCCCCTTTGGCGCTTTGCTCGAGACGTTTGGGACTTTCAGACGAAACGTGGAGCTCTTGCCATGACGGAGAACCCCTTCGGCAGTGTGGGCCTGAAGTTGAGCTTCATGGAAAAGCGCCCCAAGTTGAATCGCGCCAAGGTTGCCCAGTGCATGTTCGGCCTCAAGGATGTGATCTCGCACAAGCCCCATCGTAAACTCACTGCCTTGGATGCGAATGATCCTGACTTTGCCCGATTTCTGGAAGAAGGAGGACAATGCCTTCATCATCCTGAAGAACATCAGATTTTGGAAGGCAAAGTTCAGGTGGATGGGAGATGGGTGAACCGAACTTCCTTAGCAGGCATTTGGCCAGTTCAGCTCTGTCGGCACATCTTGAGAGCAGCTTGGAAAGCCTTGACAAAGATCGAAAAGGTCCCGCCTTGGTCCTTGGCTGATCCTGTAGGTGAGAGCAAGCTTTGGGAAGGGCATGAGATAAATGCGGTGTCCTCCGGTCTCGTACCCGAGGAGAATCTGCGACAGGAGCTTCAGAACTTGGGAGCTGGTGGCGATCGCTATGGCTACATCACTTTTGAAGGAGAAGGCCAACAAGTTCCACGTCGGATTCGTTCGGCAGTGGCCCATCTCCATGCTGCATTGGGCCACCTGGCAAATGACCGATTGGTCAGAATGCTGATGCTGAGCGGCGCTGGTGAAGCTATTCTCAAGGCAGCTCGCAATCTTCGTTGCCAGGTGTGCGCGATGGTACAGCCGCCTCGTGATGCTCCCCAAGTGGCTTACAATAAGCCGTCCAACTTCAATGAACGCATCTCGGGCGACACCTTTTTCATCTGGGATTGCAAAGGAAAGAAGTACGGTGTGGTGCATTTCCTGGACGAGCTCACGGACTATCATGTGGCAGATTGCACAAATGTGGTGGACTCTACGTTTGCGGCTGGAGTTCTGCGCGACCAATGGTATGGTGTCTTTGGCCCCCCGGATGTGATTGTCACGGATGGCGGCATGGAGTTTGCCGGAGCGGTGGAAGTCCTCAACGACTTGATGGGTGTGGTTCATGACACCATACCTGAAGGAGCCAAATGGCGACTGGGGCATGCGGAACGTCATGGGAGCATCCTCAAACTTATGTTGCTGAAGATGCTCAAGGGCCTCAATTTGGAGGGATTGGATGACATGCGTATGGCCGTCACGGCAGCCTGCTCTTCCAAGAATCGCCTGTGCAATCATGGCGGAGTGTCGCCTCTTCAGGCAGTGACTGGCCGAAACGCATTGATCCCAGCTTCGCTGATGACGCAGATCTGCTCTGGCAAGATGAAGTTCGTGCTCAACCAGGACCTGGATCGAGAAGAATGTCTTCGTCGAGCTGAACGCATCCGCCATGGGGCCATTGAGAGCTTTCATTGGCTTGACTCTCACACCACCTTGCGGAGGGCATTGGCAAGCAAGTCACGACCTCCTCGCTTGGAGATGCTGAAGGAGGGTGCGGTGGTCTACATCTATGATCCACCTGCCAATCGCAGAGGCCTTGCCAGGCGGTTGCAGGACAATGTCAGCTGGCATGGCCCGGCCACTGTGGTGTGTGTGGAAAGGGATCGACGCCTTCCAGGTCGCATTTGGGTGCGTCTTCGCGGCCGAGTCAAGTCTGTGCCACTGGAAAAGATCCGGCTTGCGACAAATGAGGAGCTGGTGAGCGGACAGTTCATCAATGAGGCACTTCATGAAATGCACGACGAGCTCACCTCTGGAAAGCTGCGTGCAACGGAGGTGGACATGCCGATGTTGGAAGATGAGACTCCAGAAGTGCCTCCGGAACTGAAGGCGATCCCCGAAGAGGACTCTTCGTCTTCTTCGGACTCTGGAAGCTCCAAGGAAGGCGCAATGGATGAAGACCATGAGACTGATCGCATGCGGCTGGAGAAGCGGCTTTTGGATGATGTGCCATTGCAGTTCCGAGCCGACAGGGCTTCCTCTTCGGCCGCTCAGTCTCCAGAGAGCCAAGACCGGGAGCCACATTCGCTCCCTTTTCACAAAAAGCAGCGCCTCTTTGAGAACCTGAGCAAGTCACTGTCTCCGCCCACGCCCATTCAAGAAGCTCGAGTTCGGGGACAATTGGAAAGAGCCTTTGAGCAGCTCAAGACTGTGCGTCGCACATTGAACAATGCTCGCCCTCGACCCAAGGCTGGTGCGAAAGAGGTGACCCGTCGTCGGGCTCCGCAGACTCCTATTGCGGCTGTGAATAGTCCAACAGAAGAGGAGCCTGCTCCAGAACAAGAAGGACGCGAAGATGTGCTGATGGTCTCTACTCCAATTCAGGAGCCAATTGAAGATTTGACAACGAGCCCATGGTGCTCCCTGCAGGCTGGCCTCACAAAGGTGGAAATGCCCTCAGAGAGCAGCAGTGAAGACTCAAGTATCACCTTTCCTGACGGCCCCTATGTCCCTGACGAGGTCGGCACTTTTGCGGATGAGCGCCTTGCCTCTTACCTGAACCGCGTCCGCTCTGACGAGAACGAGACTTTGGAGCTCGAGAAGGTGATCGAAAACATCGAGACCGGCCAGACTGAATATGGCACGTATGTCACAGAGGTGTTGCAGCAGCACGTCTTGTGGACGTCAAATGAAGTGCTCGCTGGCCAAGACATGCCCGACCGCCTCAAGAAGAACCTGGAGGACGAGCAGAAGGTCTTGGACCAAGCCAACTTGATCACTGGAAAGGAGCGTGTCGAGATGGCTTGGAATCAATTGGATGAGAGTTGGCGCCAAGCCTTTGTGAATCCCATCGTGAAGGGCTTCAAGGTGTATTTTGATCATCAAGCTCTTGCTGGAGTACCTGAAGGTCAATGGGTGGATCCTCAGCGAATTTTGCCTTCAAGGTTGGTGCTCACCAACAAGGGCGGCCCAACACTGGAAGAGGCAGAGCTCAAGGCCAGATGGGTCTTTGGGGGTCATCGTGATCCTGATGCTGGAAAGTATCCCACTTCAAGCCCAACGGTGTCATTGGTGGGTCACAACTTGCTGAACTTTGTGGCGGTGCAAAAGGGCTGGTGTGTGGCCTATGAGGATGTCTCGGCGGCTTTTCTTCAGGGACAAGGTCTTCCTGCCGAACGCGAGATCTATGTGAAGATCCCTCGAGGCTATCCTGAAGAAGCTTTAGCCGAACTACAAAAACTCATTGGCCCTGGCATGCGCTCTGATCTGGTGCGCCTCTTGAAAGGAGGATTTGGTCTGCCAGAATCCCCTCGACTGTGGTACTTGGAGTACAAGAATACTTTGCTCAGCTTGGGCGGTCGTGAACTCAAACTTCTACCTGGTTTCTTTGTCTTTGACGATGAAGAGGGCAACCTCATTGGAATGGCCTGCATACATGTTGATGACACCCGCTATGCAGGATCTCCTGCGGCTGACAAGATTTGGGATGCCCTTCATCAAAGACTGAACTTTGGAAAGAAGCGATTGGCAACTGACGGATGGACCAAGTTTTGTGGTCGTTTTGAACGTCAGGATCCGGCCACTCTGGAATTCTTTTACTCCATGGATGAGTATAACCTGAACATCCCCTTTGTCGAGGAGCGTTCAAAGACCGATTTGGAGCGACCGCTGACTCCCTTGGAACGCAAGGCCATCAGTTCGGTGATTGGGCAGTTGGCCTGGTCTGCGAGGCAATGCAGACCCGATCTGAGCTTCGGGTGCTCTCATGTCCTTCAGCTAGCGGGCCAACAAGATCCTTTAGCGCTTCATTGGCTCAATAAGGTGGTGAAGCGCGCCCGTATGCTGATGGAGATGCCGATCCGTCATTTGGGCTGCGAGCTGGAGGAGGTTGTCTTCTTGGCCGTGAGCGACGCCGCCTATGCTTCGCAGCCTGGTGGAGGAAGTCAAGGTGGACTGATGGTGGGGATCGCCAATCCCTTGATCCAGGTGGGCAGCTCCAAGGTGGCCTTTTTGGAGTGCCAGTCATCCCGTCTTCAACGAGTGGTTCGCTGCTCCATGTCAGCGGAGCTGTCAATGGCAGCAACAGCATATGAACACTGTGACTATTTGAGGGCCGTTTTTGCTGAGGTGATGCGACCTCAGTTCCGGCTGTCGCAGTGGAAATTCCACGCCAGTCACTGGCGCAACATTTTGGTGATGGATGCCAAGGTGGCCTATGACGCCCTCAACAGCGAGACTGCCCCCACGGACAGGAAGCTGATCGTGGACATTGCAGTTCTTCGCGAAGCCTTGGAGGACACGGCGGAGAGCGGGTTTGTGAGGTGGGTTCCAGGCAAGGAGATCCCCTCGGATGGCCTTACAAAGTGGTACGGCAATGGAGCGCTGGAGAGAGTGCTTTGTGAAGGCCGTTGGTCTCTGATGGACACGGAGACGGCTGCAGAACTCCGCCGACAAGTGGCAGTTCGCAAACGCCGTTGTAAAAAGGCCAAGTTGTAGCAGTGCTGAGACCAAGGGGGTTTTGTGTCGAAACGGGCACATTCAGCACTGCCATCCGCTCACAGCCATTAGGCTCCGCCAGGTGTGTAGGAAAATAGGGCGCTGATGCTTTTCGAGTATAATATATATATATATAAATAATCTTTTATAAAATCTATCATATTTCTCTTTAGATAAACGCTAAAAAATTTAAAATATATTTTTTATGTTAAAATTTGAAAAAAGAAAAATGGGATAAATTTAGTTTTAAAATCGATTAATTGAATTTAAAATTGTATAATTAGATTGTTTTTGTTGTCCTATAGTTGTAATGATTAGAGATTAAAATTTTTGTGCCGTATTTTTGTTTTATTTTGGATTATATGTGATTACTAATTATATTTTAATTTATTTTATTTTCAAGAATTTATATATGTATCTATATATTTTTATCTAAAACTAAAAAAAATCGATATGTAATATCCTAATTTCTGGATAATTTTTGTTATATATTGGATTTTGTAATAACATATATGTGAACAATTTTTTATAGAATTTATTGCGTCCCCCTTTAGATAAGGCCCAAAAAATTTGAAAAACATGTTTTTTATATAGAGATTTTAAGAAAGAAAAAGGGACAAATTTGATTCCAAATCTATTAATTGAATTTGAAATTGTATATTTAGATCGTTTTTTTGTCCCATAGTTCTGAGTATCGTAGTAAAAAATCTCTTAAAAGGTTAATTTTTGGAACCCGATGGAAATCCCAAGGTTATATTATCTTGTATTCGGCAAATATTATGATCTGGGTCCCGGGAAGTGAACCATTTAGTAAAGAATTATAATTTTTCACGGCGACCCATTTTTATAGTGGTTATACAAATACATTTTACAATGATTCACATTAATTTTTGATCCATCATCAAAACCCCAAAATATTTTGTAGCAAGGGAGGTTGGTTCAGATTCAAGCAACATTTTGTAGTATAAGGCTATATTTGAAAACGGTTTAGTGGCCATAATTATCCTGCAAAATATATATTATTATATATAAATTTAATATTTTTTATAATTTTATAATATTTTAGATATTATATAATATAAAAATAATAATTAGAAATTATTTTATTTCGTCTGATTCCCACCATGACATTTATATATTTTGTAATTGGCATATCTTCTGACATATTTTCTGACATTTTATCTGGCATTCTATCTGGCATATCTTCTGGCATATTATTTGGCAAATCTTCTGGTATTGTATTTGGCAAACATTCTGGTATTGTATTTGGCATATCTTCTGGTATTCTACCTGACATATCTTCTGGTATATCTTCTGGCATTCTACCTGGCATATGTTCTGGCATATCTTTCGGCCTTCTATTTGGCATATTTTCTGGCATATTATCTGGTAAATCTTCTGGCATTCTATTTGGCAAACATTCTAGCACTTTATCTGGCATTCTATTTGGCATATCTTCTGGTATTCTATTTGGCATATCTTCTGGTATTCTACCTGGCATATCTTCTGGCATATCTTCTGGTACTCTATCTGGCATTTTATCTGGAATTCTATCTGACATATCTTCTGGCATATTATTTGGTAAATCTTCTGGCATTCTATTTGGCAAACATTCTGGCACTTTATTTGGCATACCTTCTGGTATTCTACCTGGCATATTTTTTGGCATATCTTCTGGCATTCTATCTGAGCTTCCATCTGGCATATCTTCTGGCATTCTATCTGGCCGTTGAGGTCCAGCGGTGCACACTGAGCTGGGCAGGTCCCAGGTTGAGGTCCAGCGGTGCACACTGAGCTGGGCAGATCCCAGGTTGAGGTCCAGCGGTGCACACTGGGCTGGGCAGGTCCCAGGTTGAGGTCCAGCGGTGCATACTGAGCTGAGACGGTCCTTGGTTGAGGTCCAGCGGTGCACACTGAGCTGGGGAGGTCCCAGGTTGAGGTCTAGCGGTGCACATTGAGCTGGGAAGGTCCCAGGTTGAGGTCCAGCGGTGCACACTGAGCTGGGGAGGTCCCAGGTTGAGGTCTAGCGGTGCACACTGAGCTGGGAAGTTGGCAAAGAGCTTGGCGAAGAGAGTTAGCAAAGAGCTTGGCGAAGAGTTGGCAAGGCGGAAGTGGAGGTGGAAGTTGATGCAGACATGGTCGAGGAAAAACTAGAGGAGGAGGAGGACGAGGAGGAGGAGGAGGACAACTAGCCGAGGAGGAGGAGGAGGAGAACAACTCTGATAAAATCTAACAACCCTCACCTGGCAGGTGGGGAAAACATATATATATATATTTAAACAAGATAAAGCCCACGAACCCGAATGCTCACACGTATGTTAAGTGTACCGATGTCAAAACACATGGTTATGCAGTCACGCACTATACCTTTCTGCAATAGTTTATTTGACCAGTCTTGTACATGTTTCCCTTGTTACCAGTCTGCAGTGTGGAGTGGAAAGTGTAGAGTGTGGAGTGTAGAGTGTGAAGTAAGGAGTGTGGAGTGTAAAGTGTGGAGTGAGGAGTGTAGAGTGTGTCAAGTGTAGAATGCGGAGTGTAAAGTGTAGAGTGTGGAGTATGGAGTGTAAAGTGTAGAGTGTTAAGTGTAGAGTGTGGAGTGTGGAGTCTAGAGTCTAGAGTGTGGAGTGAGAAGTGTAAAGTGTAAAGTGTGGAGTGTAAAGTGTAGTGTGGAGTGGAAAGTGTAGAGTGTGGAGTGTAGAGTGTAAAGTGTAGAGTGTAGAGTGTAAAG